GGCTCTTCAGCTTAGAAATGGAGATGATCGGACATGACTAGATTTAATGTCAGGGGAGAGTGGTCCCTGGCCAAAAAAGGTTTGGAACCACTGCATTAAAACCACTGAGCTGCTAAACTTGCTGACTGAAAGGTTGGTGGTTTGAGTCTGGGGAGTGGGGTGAGCTCCCACTGTTAGCCCCAGCTTCTGCCAACCTAGAATCATAGAGTTAGAAGAGACCTCATGGGCCATCCAGTCCAACCCCCTGCCATGAAGCAGGAAAATTGCATTCAAAGCACTCCCGACAGATGGCCATCCAGCCTCTGTTTAAAAGCTTCCAAAGAAGGAGCCTCCACCACACTCCAGGGCAGAGAGTTCCACTGCTGAACAGCTCTCACAGTCAGGAAGTTCTTCCTAAACATTACTAGGTAATGTTTTCAAATTACCTAGTAATTTGAAACATGCAAATGTGAGTAGATCAATAGGTACCGCTTCTGCGGGAAGGTAATGGCACTCCATACAGTCATGCCGGCCACGTGACCTAGGAGATGTCTACGGACAACGCCGGCTCTTCGGCTTAGAAATGGAGATGAGCACCAGCCTCCAGAGTCGGACATGACTAGAATTAATGTCAGAGGAAACCTTTACCTTTTAGAGACTTAAAGTGGACTTTTTGGGGTTTTTTATTTCTGCGTAGTCCACATACCATGCCAAGGTCTTGGGAGAAAGGAGGGACACTCTCTTAGACCTGGTTGCTGTTTTAGACAGATCTAATCAAGCTATGGCATCCAGAAGGCGTTCAGCTCCCTGAGTGTGCTCTTGGTATTGATCTGCCCGGGATTGTCATTGCCTACACAGTCACTTTGGGGCTTGGCTTGCCAGTTCCCTATCACCCAAACCCATCTGTTGTCTGAAACTCCTGATAGAAGCTCCCTATGCTTCCTTATCTCTGTCGCTCAACCAACCAGCCGGTTCCTGCCTTCTCAGAGGAGGCGGGTTTGGCGAATGTCCCCACCAAAGGCTGCTGAAGCATGTGTGCGATTGTGGCCGCACTGCAGATTCATGGCAGTTTGGCACCAATGAAATCTATAGAATCCCGAGCCAGTCCGTTGTGGCACCAGCATTCCCCTACAGAAAAAATATAGTACACAAACTACAGTCTGGCCATGTTTACAGTAGCTCACTGCCATTGGTTGATGAATGCTGGTTTTGAGTCTTAAATTGTTGTTTTTATGCCTACTTGTTTTATTCAATGGCATTTTATATTGTGTTTTATTTTATTCAAGCATTTAGGTAGTAAGCAATACTTCAGGGAGATGGAGGCTGGATACAATAATAAAGTTGTTGTTATTATTATTTGAAACACAAGATGAGTCCACAGCAGACACTCTGCTGGCTGTTGTATTGGATCACACGTCGGACACTTCCCAAGTATCTAGGACTGTGTGATGTATCGGCGAATAATGTGTGCAGATCCCAGTAGGGTGGCCTTTTGCAGCTGGCAGATGGTATTTTTGTCAGTGCCGATTGTGTTTAAGTGCGGGCCAAAGTCTTTAGGCACTGCACCCAGTGTGCCGATCACCACTGGGACCATATTATTATTATTATTATTATTATTATTATTATTATTATTTTAAAGTTGCTTTTGTGTTACTTTTTTTAGTTTTTCCTTTATTTTTTGTTAATTATATGACACGATCTCATATATAATCAGAAAATATACATTCAGAAATAATGAAACATGTCTAGATCTGTATGCAGATGGCAACTCGAGTTTAAGACATTTTCAAAGGAAAATCCATGTAAACTATTACTAATTGGAACTGTTTCCATCTAGATAACAGCAATAGTGTCATCAGCTACTTCTCCCCCCCCCCCCCGGGCCATATCAAGTGCAAATAAAATAAAATAAAAATCGCAATGTATCTTTTTTTGGGAAATTCCTTACAAGGCAAGAAATATTATTATTATTATTATTATTGCAAGTCCTAGATCAGCCTTTCTCGAACTGGGGGTCGACCAAGTGGTGTCGGAGGGGTCACCAAAGATCATTAGAAAACACAGTATTTTCTCTTTGTCATGGGGGTTCTGTGTGGGAAGTCTGGCCCAATTCTATTATTGGTGAATGCTCTTTGATTGTAGATGAACTATAAATCCCAGCAACTACAACTCCCAAATGCCACCTATTTTCCCCAAACTCCACCAGTGTTCACACTTGGGCATATTAAGTATTCATGCCAAATTTGATCCAGCTCTATCATTGTTTGAGTCCACAGTGTTCTCTGGATGTAGGTGAACTACAACTCCAAAACTCAAGGTCAATGCCCACCAAACCCTTTCAGTATTTTCTGTTAGTTATGGGAGTTCTGTGTGCCAAGTTTAGTTCAATTCCATCATTGGTGGAGTTCTGAATGCTCTATGAGTTAGGTGAACTATAAATCCCAGCAACTACAACTCCCAAATGACAAAATCAACCTCACCAGTATTCAAATTTGGGCGTACCGGGTATTTGTGCCAAATTTGATCCAGTGAATGAAAATACATACTGCATTTTAGATATTTACATTACAATTCATAACAGGAGCAAAATTACAGTTATGAAGTAGCAAAAAAAAATTTTATGGTTGGGTGTCACCACAAAATGAGGAACTGCATTAAGGGGTCGCGGCATTAGGAAGGTTGAGAAACACTGTCCTAGATGTCTATAGCCTTGAGCCGGCTAAAGTAAGGCCAAAGTGCGACAATTTGGCAGTGTGGGTCAGTCCTTGACAGTCCCCCAGCTTCTTTTCTTCCAATGACGCAGTGCTTGGACTTGCAGGGCTGTAAGGAGGAGGGAAACCGTAGAGTGAAAGGACAGGATAATAACCCTTTCTAAGGCTGGATCTACACTGCCATAAAATGCATATAATGAATGGCATTAAAAGTTCAGTGTAGACTAGGGCCCCTTCTACACTGCCATATAAAATCCAGATTATCTGCTTTGGACGCGATAATGCGGCAGTCTGGACTTATATAATCCAGTTCAAAGCACATAACCTGAACTATCTGGTTTGACAATCTGGATGATATGGCTGTGTAGACTCATATAATCAAGTTAAAGCACATAATCTGGATCACCTGATTTAATAGTCTGGATTATATGGCAGTGTAGACTCAAGTAATCCAGTTCAAAGCATATACCCTGGATGATCTGGTTTGATAATCTGGATTAGATGGCAGTGTAGACACATATCATCCAGTTCAAAGCACATAATCTGGATGAGCGGGTTTGACAATATGGATTATATATGGCTGTGCGGAAAGGGCCTATGGGTGTTGGACTCATTTTCACCAAGGGCCACATCCACCTTAGCGTTGCCTTCAAAGGGCCTTTGAATCTATGGATGGAGAATCCATGGATACAAGGTCTGATTATTATCTTTTTTACATAGCGGTCGGTGCTCTTTGCATCTCAAATGTTACTGAACAACAACACCCTCCCTTTTGGTGATCGGCCATGTGGAACTGGGGATAATGGGAACTGCAACCCAACAGCACATGTGGCTCTGAGGTTGAGGAATGGTTAGATGTTAGACTTTCTATCCATCTATTGCAGGCATGGGCAAACTTGGGCCCTCCAGGTGTTTTGGATTTCAACTCCCACCATTCCTAACAGCCTCATGCCCTTTCCTTTCTCCCCTTAGCTGCTTAAAGAAGGAAGGAGCCTGAGGCTGTTAGGAATGGTGGGAGTTGGAGTCTAAGGGGCCTGAGGCTGTTAGGAATGGTGGGAGTTGGAGTCCAAGAGGCCTGAGGCTGTTAGGAATGGTGGGAGTTGGAGTCCAAAGGCCTGAGGCTGTTAGGAATGTTTGGAGTTGGAGTCCAAGGAGCCCGAGGGTGTTAGGAATGGAGGGAGTTGGAGTCCAAGGACCTGAGGCTGATAGGAATGGTGGGAGTTGGAGTCCAAGGACCTGAGGCTGTTAGGAATGGTGGGAGTTGGAGTCCAAGGGGCCTGAGACTGTTAGGAATGGTGGGTGTTGGAGTCCAAGGGGCTTGAGACTGTTAGGAATGGCGGGAGTTGAAGTCCAAGGGCCTGAGAGTGTTAGGAATGGTGGGAGTTGGAGTCTAAGACCCTGAGGGTGTTAGGAATGGCGGGAGTTGGAGTCCAAGGGACCCGAGGCTGTTAGGAATGGTGGGAGTTGCAGTCCAAGGACCTGAGGCTGTTACGAATGGTGGGAGTTGGAGTCCAAGGAGCCCGAGGGTGTTAGGAATGGTTGGAGTTGGAGTCCAAGGGGTCTGAGGCTGTTAGGAATGGTGGGAGTTGGAATCCAAGGGGCCTGAAGGTGTTAGGAATGATGGGAGTTGGGAGTCCAAGGGGCCTGAGGCTGTTAGGGATGGTGGGAGTTGGAGTCCAAGGACATGAGGCTGTTAGGAATGGTGGGAGTTGGAGTCCAAGGGGCCTGAGGCTGTTAGGAATGGAGGGAGTTGGAGTCTAAGGGGCGTGAGGCTGTTAGGAACGGTGGGAGTTGGAGTCCAAGGACCTGAGGCTGTTAGGAATGGTGGGAGTTGGAGTCCAAGGGGCCTGAGGCTGTTAGGAATGGTGGGAGTTGGAGTTCAAGGGCCTGAGGCTGTTAGGAATGGAGGGAGTTGGAGTCTAAGGGGCGTGAGGCTGTTAGGAACGGTGGGAGTTGGAGTCCAAGGACCTGAGGCTGTTAGGAATGGAGGGAGTTGGAGTCCAAGGAGCTGAGGCTGTTAGGAATGGTGGGAGTTGGAGTCCAAGGACCTGAGGCTGTTAGGAATGGTGGGAGTTGGAGTCCAAGGACCTGAGGCTGTTAGGAATGGAGGGAGTTGGAGTCCAAGGGCCTGAGGCTGTCAGGAATGGGTGACCCTTTGCTGTAGCCCAAAATAAGCAGGCAAGTGGCCAATGGGCGACCAGGTTTAGGCAGAGCGAAGGGAGGAAGGGTTCCCGGTGGCTGTTGCCCGTCTCCCCCGCCCGGGGTCCGTTGCCAGCCCCTCTCCCACCCGGGGAAGCCTTGCCTGCTCACCGGCCTCGATGGCTTGCGCCAGGGTAGCCAAGCCGGTCATGCCGGTGGCGCCGAAGATGGCGATCTTCTTGCAGGCTGCAGCCATGTCCACTCCAGGCGGTGGCTGCTCGGCTCCTTCCCAGCCCCGGAGCCAAGCCTTCCGGGAGGCAGCCAGGCAGGCAGGGCGGGCGGGGATCGGGGGCGGCGCTCGCCTTTCCCAGGAGGAGGAGCAGCAGGAGCAAGAAGGGGCTTGGCTTGGCTTCCCCGCCCCGATCGGGTTCCACGGAGGCGGCCACACTCGAGCGCCCTCCCCCCTCGACGGCTCTTCTTCCTCGGAGGCTCCCAAACCGAGGAAACGTCAGCAAGTGGTCGCATAAAGCCAACCGAACAGCGCCCTCTTGTGATCAAAGCGGGAATGGCAGCTCAGTCAATCTGGGAATTGTGTGGCTACATTCAAGGGACACTACAGATTCCTACCCAAAGTGACTTCTTTGGAAAGCCTCAGCTAGTTACTTTGCTGGACAGTTCCCAACCCTGTTATGTCTCTTCTTTTTTTTTTTGGACGACATCTCCTAGAATCCCAATTCCAGCATAAATCTGTTCACAGAACCTTTTTATGGGTCTCCTGCTGGAAGAGATATTATTATTATTTTACTGACACAAAAGCACAGTATGTCACAGCAAACGAGATCTATATGCTGGATTTCATATAAAAAACAACAACAATTGAACACTTCCCAAGCATTTAGGACTGTGTGATGTATTTTCGAATGATGCATGCAGATCCAAGTAAGGTGGCCTTTTGCAGTTGACAGAAAGTGATTTTGTCAATGTTTATTGTTTCCAAATGCTAGCTGAGATCTTTTGACATGGCACCCAGTGTGCCAATGACCGCTGGGTGCCAGCCCAAAACATGTACTTGTTATTATTATTATTAGGAGCCCCTGGTGGGGCAGTGGGTTAAACCCCTGTGCCGGTAGGACTGAAGACCGACAGGTCGCAGGTTCGAATCCGGGGAGAGGCGGATAAGCTCCCTCTATCAGCTCCAGCTCCTCATGCGGGGACATGAGAGAAGCCTCCCACAAGGATGATAAAAACATCAAATCATCCAGGCGTCCCCTGGCCAACGTCCTTGCAGATGGCCAGTTCTCTCACAGCAGAAGCAACTTGCAGTTTCTGAAGTCGCTCCTGACATGACAAAAATTATTATTATTATTATTATTATTATTATTATTATTATTATTATTATTAGTCACTGACCAACACAGCTAGAATCTTCAGCATTGACATCAGTATGGAGTTCGGCATCTGCCAGCTACAGAAGGCCACCTTACTGGGATCGGCACGCATTATTCACCGATACATCACACAGTCCTAGACACTTGGGAAATGTCCGAGGTGTGATGGAATACAACAGTCAGCAGAGTGATCTTGTCTGCTGTGGATTCATCTTGTGTTTCAAATAATAATAATAATAATAATAATAATAATAATAATATGGATATTCAAGTTTCCATACTTGGTACATCTGTTTTTGGTATCCACGTTTTTGTGGTTCTGATCTATAATAACAGTTCATGACAGTCCAGTTCTGTGGCATTGAAAATTTCTGCCGCTTCTGTACTTGTTTTGCTTCCAGTTGCCCTACAGGCCCATTCCCTAGTTGCTCAACAGTGGGTCCTGGTTCCTGTAGCCCACTTGTCGACAGGTGCCCAGGAGAAGCACTCGCCACACTCCTTATTATCCTGGGTGACGACCAAGCCAGTATAGACTTCTTTAGAGTCTGTTTCGCCATATTTAAATGGGTTGGGTGCACTTAGTTCTACTTCTCGGTTGAGACCACTCTGGCTTGGTTGAACTTACTGGTAGTTTACACTATCGCCAGCACAGTTCTCAACATTATAGAAGCAGTTAAGCCTACCCCCCGCCCCTGCCAACGACAAGGCAGCACCCGATCGGGGGTGGTGCCGTGACTCAGATTGTGGTGATTGGCACACTGGGTGCAGTGCCTAAAGACCTTGGCCTGCACTTAAACACAACAGGCGCTGACAAAATTACCACCTGCCAGCTATAGAAGGCCATCTTACTGGGATACACACACATTATTCGCTGATACATCACACAGTCCTAGACACTTGGGAAGTGTCTGATGTGTGATCCAGTACAAGAGCCAGCATAGTGATCTTGTCTGCTGTATACTAATCTTGTTGTGTTTCAAATAATAATAATAATAATAATAATAATAATAATAATAATAATAATAATGTGGGGCTTTCGAATCCAGACTTACAAAGATTTGGAACACAATGCACCAGACATCATGACTGTTAAAAAGAAAAAAGTTTGGATTATTGATGTCACCATTCCAGGTGACAGTCGCATTGAGGAAAAACAAAAGGAAAATCTCAGCTGTTATCAGGACCTCAAAATCGAACTGCAAAGGCTCTGGCATAAACCAGTACAGGTGGTGCCAGTGGTCATCGGCACACTGGGTGCCGTGCCAAAAGATCTCAGCCGGCATTTGGAAACAATAAACATCGACAAAATCATGATCGGTCAACTGCAAAAGGCCACCTGACTTGGTTCTGTGTGCATCATTCGAAAATACATCACACAGTCCTAAACGCTTGGGAAGTGCTCGACTTGTGATTTTGTGATACGAAATCCAGCATATAGATCTCATTTGCTGCAACATAATGTGTTTTTGTGTCAGTGAAATAATAATAATAATCTCTATATATATAAATGCTCTGTGCATAATAAGTACCTTAAAAACAAAAGAACCAATGAATGAAATCACACCAAATTTGGCAACAAAATGTCTCACTACACAAGGAGTGACCATCACTCAAAAAAAATATGATTTTGTCATTTGGGATTTGTAGTTGCTGGGATTTATAGTTCACCTATAATCAAAGAGCATTCTGAACTCCACCAACAATGGAATTGAACCAAACTTGGCACACAGAACTCCCATGACCAACAGAAACTACTGGAAGGGTTTGGTGGGCATTGACCTTGAGTTTTGGAATTGTAGTTCGCCTCCATCCAGAGAACACTGTGGACTCAAACAGTGATGGATCTGGACCAAACTTGACAGGAATACTCAATATGCCCAAATGTGAACACAGATGGAGTTTGGGGGAAATAGACCTTGACATTTGGGAGTTGTAGTTATTGGGATGTATAGTTCACCTACAATCAAAGAGCATTGCAAACCCACCAACAATGGAATTGGGCCAAACATCCCACACAGAACCCCCATGACCAACAGAAAATTCCATGTTTTCTGGTGGTCTTTGGTGACCCTTCAAGACCCTTGGTGCCCCTCCCCCCCAACAGGGTCTTGAGAAATGCTGCCTTAAGGCCATCCAGTCCAACTTCCTTCACTAGGGCAAGAAAACACAATCAAAGACCACCTGACAAAGGGCCATCCAGCCATTCACACACAGAGATATATACATATATGACAGATGCAGTATCAAAGATTTGAAATGGACCCCTAAAGAAGGACAATTATATGTTGCATGTTCCAGAGTAGGCAAACCAGACAATCTCCACATCAACACTGACAAGAAACAACAAAGAATACTGTTTACCCACAAGCAGAAAGAAACTACATATATTAGAAGCCAACACTTTCTCATTACTTTATTTTCCAGATCACCAAGTTGGGCCACAGCAATGCGTGGCAGGGGACCGCTAATAACAACAACAACAACAACAACAACAACAACAACAACAACAACAATGGTAATAATAGGCAATACATCACACAGTCCTAGACTCTTGGGAAGTTTCCAACATGTGATCGAATACAAAAGCCAACATAGTGATCTTGTTTGCTGTGTATCTAATAATAATAATAATAATAATAATAATAATAATAATAATAATAATAGGTTGTTGTGAGTTTTCTGGGCTCTCTGGCTATGTTCCAGAAGCATTCTCTCCTGATGTTTTGCCTGCATCTATGTCAGGCATCCTCAGAGATTGTGAGGTCTGTTGGAAACTAGGAAAATTGGGTTTATATATCTGTGGAATATCCAGGGTGGAAGAAATAACTCGTGTCTGTTTGAGGTAGGGGTGAATGTTTCAATTGGTCACCTTGATTAGCATTTAATGGCCTTGCAGTTTCACAGTCTGGCTTCTTACTGTCTGGGGGAATCCTATGGCAGAGGTTTGTTCAGAGGTCTGTGAGATTGAGGCAAGTGGGATGTATATATATATCTCTTGAGTATCCAAGGTGCAAGAAAGAACTCTTGTCTGATGTGTTGTCGAAGTTCCATCATCAACACAAAATACTGGAAGCGTTTGATGGGCATTATATCTGTAGCCTCAACTTGCTTCTGACACGATAAATAAATAGTGCTCAAACTACTACATTACGCTGGATTACACACACACTTAACTGGTTAGTTACGGCACACTGAACACAATGAGAAATAATCTTGTTTTTGAGTAGACATCGCTCTTGCTCATGGTTAGACATGTAAAATGACTGGAAAAGTCATGCAGAGATGGGAGAAGACTTTTTTGGAGTAAAGTGGAAACTGAAATATTATTTCATAGCTTGCCATATAAAATGTTAATATCCTGCATCCTGATGAAAATTAAATATACAAAGCTTTAAAGTTGTGAATGTCTAGTTTTAAAAACAAGACAAATTGGGCACATAATCTGTACCAAAGAGTGAAGCACAGGTATATGTTTTAGTGGTTTTTAATGTTTTCGTGTGTATTTGTGGTATTTTTACAATGTTTTAATTATTCTGTAACCCGCCTTGAGCCACAAGGAGAGGCAGGTAAAAAATAAAATTATTATTAATGGTTTTTAACTGGGAATTTTTAAATACTGTATATATTTAATTCTGTTTTAATGTTTGCATATTTGTATATTTTAAATTGCATGCTAATTCTTGTATGTTAAGCCACTTTGAGGCTGTGTATTGTCGAAGGCTTTCATGGCTGGAATCACTGGGTTGCTGTGAGTTTTCAAGGCTGTATGGCCATGTTCCAGAAGCATTCTCTCCTGATGTTTTGCTCGCATCTATTGCAGGTATCCTCAGAGGTTTTGAGACCGCACAACATTTGAGGATGCCTGCCATAGATGCAGGTGAAACATCAGAAGAGAATGCTTCTGGAACATGGCCATACAGCCTGGGAAACTCACAGCAACCCAGAATCCTTGTTTGTTTAAAGCAAGTGTGAATGTGGCAATTAGCAAGCTTGAATAGTATTGAATAGCCATGAAACTGCAAAGTCAATTAGTGAAGGTATCAGCAAAGAGGTAGCCTGGCCTCTGTTGCCTGGAGGCATCCTCTGTTTGGGAGATGTTAACTGGCACTTGCTTGTTTGCTGTCTGGAGTTCTCCGGTTTCTGAGTGGTGTTCCTTATTTACTGTGTTGATTACCAGCGTTTTTTAATACTGGTAACCAGATTTTGTTCATTTCCATTTCCATTTGCTTCACTTCCAACAGAATCTCTGAAGATGCCATTAGCCACAGATGCAGGCAAAACATCAAGGGAGAATACTACTGGAACATGGCCATACAGCCCGAAAAACTCACAGCAACCCATTCGTTCTTTATTTCTTCTATTTTATCTTTTTACGTATCATCCCATTAAAGAAATAATAATAATAATAATAATAATAATAATAATAATAATAATCAGACCACATCTGGAATATTGTGTCCAATTCTGGGCAACACAACTGGAGGGAGATGTTGACAAGCAGGAATCTGTCCAGACAAGGGTGACCAAAATGATCAAGGGCCTGGAGAACAAGCTCTATGAGGAGCAGCTTAAAGAGCTGGGTATGTTTAGCCTGCAGAAGAGAAGGCTGAGAGGAGACATGATGAGGGTCATGTATAAAGATGTGAGGGGAAGTCATAGGGAGGAGGGAGCAAGCTTGTTTTCTGCTGTCCTGGAGACTAGGATACAATGGAGCAATGGTTTCAAACTACAAGAAAGGAGATTCCACCTGAACATGAGGAAGAACTTCCTGACTGTGAGAGCTGTTCAGCAGAGGAACTCTCTGCCCTGGAATATGGTGGAGGCTCCTTCTTTGGAGGCTTTTAAGCAGAGGCTGGATGGCCATCTGTCGGGGGTGCTTTGAATGCGATTTTCCTGCTTCTTGGCAGGGGGGTTAGACTGGATGGTCCACAAGGTCTCTTCCAATTCTATGATTCTATGATTCTAATAATAATATTTTAGCTTTTGCCACCTAAAAAGTAAGAAACATGAAAACAGAAACAACATCTTTTGTAATTTATTGAATGAATAATAAAATATATCTCAGTGGTGGCTCCTCGGCTGTGGAACTCCCTTCCTAAGATGATTAGATCAGCCTCTTCTCTCCTGACCTTCCACAGAAAGTGAAAACATGGCTTTTTGAACAAGTCTTTGGGAACCAAGTGCAATAGATAAACACGGAACTATGTGAAACTGAATACTGGAATGGCTTAGATGATGTTTTTGGATGACAAAACTAATAGTGAAGGTAGTGGTTTTATCTATATAAATAAACAAGTAATGTTCTTTTGTGGGATTAACATAACTCAAAAACCACTGGACGAATTGACACCAAATTTGGACAGCACACACCTAACAACCCAATGTATGTCCTTCACTCAAAAAAATTAATTTTGTCATTTGGGAGTTGTAGTTGCTGGGATTTATAGTTCACCTACAATCAAAGAGCATTCTGAACTCCACCAATGATGGAATTGAACCAAACGTGGCATACAGGACTCCCATGACCAACAGAAAACACTAGAAGGGTTTGGTGGGCACTGACCTTGAGTTTGGGAGTTGTAGTTCACCTACATCCAGAGAGCACTGTGGACTCAAACAATGATGGATCTGGACCAAACTTGGCACAAATATTCCATATGCCCAAATATGAACACAGATGGAGTTCGGGGGAAATAGACCTTGACATTTGGGAGTTGTAGTTACTGGGATTTATAGTTCACCTACAATCAAAGAGCATTCTGAACCCCACAACGACAGAATTGGGGCAAACTTCCCACACAGAACCCCCATGACCAACAGAAAATACTTAAGGCCATCCAGTCCAGCTCCCTTCACCAGGTCAAGAAAATGTAATCAAAGTCCTCCTGACAAAGAGCCATCCGTCATAAATATAGATAGATATGGAATATTTGTGCCAAGTTTGGTCCAGATCCATCATTGTTTGGGTCCACAGCCCTCTCTGGATATAGGTGAACTACAACTCCCAAACTCAAGGTCAATGCTCACCAAACCCTTCTTGTGCTTTCTGTTGGTCATGGGAGTCCTGTTATGCCATGTTTGATTCAATTCTATCATTGTTGGAGTTCAGAATGCGTAGGTGAACTATAAATCCCACCAACTACAACTCTCAAATGACAAAATCAACTTATTTTGAGTGATAGTCACTCCTTGGGTTAGTAGGTGTCTTGTGGCCAAATTTGGCGACAATTCGTCCAGTGGTATTTGAGTTATGTTAATCCCACAAACAAACATTACATTTGTATTTATATAGATTGTTGTATGATGTTTTAACTTGTATTAATAGCATTGAATACTTGCTATAAGCCGGTCTGAGTCCCTCTACGGAGGTGAGAAAATCGGGATATAAAAGGTTTTAATAAATAAATAAACCTGGAGGGCCTAAGTTTGCTTATGCCTGGACTAGATGCTCTTTGGGGTGTCTTCCAACTCTATAGGTCATCTTCAACCTCAGCAAGATGGAGTGGGTGAGGGATTAGAGGACATCCAACCCCAAATTGGGAAACAAGTCATCCAGGAATACCTGGCTGCTCTAAATGAGTTCAAGTCCTCAGGGCCAGATCAACTACACCCAAGAGTACTGAAGGAACTAGCGGAAGTCATTTCGGAACCATTGGCAATCATCTTTGAGAGTTCTTGGAGAATGGGAGAAGTTCCAGCAGATTGGAGGAGGGCCAATGTGGTCCCAATCTTCAAGAAGGGAAAAAAGGATGACCCAAACAACTACCGTCCGGTCAGCCTCACGTCGATACCAGGCACGATTCTGGAAAAGATTGTTAAGGAAGTGGTCTGCAAACACTTAGAAACAAATGCGGTCATCGCTAATAGTCAACATGGATTTATCAAAAACAAGTCATGCCAGACTAATCTGATCTCTTTTTTCGATAGAGTTACAAGCTGGGTAGATGCGGGGAATGCCGTGGATGTAGCGTACCTGGGATTTCAGTAAGGCCTTCGACAAGGTCCCCCATGACCTTCTGGCAAGGAAACTAGTCCAATGTGGGCTAGGCAAAACTACGGTGAGGTGGATCTGTAATTGGTTAAATGGACGAACCCAGAGGGTGCTCACCAATGCTTCTTCTTCATCCTGGAAAGAAGTGACAAGTGGAGTGCCGCAGGGTTCCGTCCTGGGCCCGGTCCTGTTCAACATCTTTATTAATGACTTAGATGAAGGGTTAGAAGGCATGATCATCAAGTTTGCAGATGACACCAAATTGGGAGGGATAGCCAATACTCCAGAGGACAGGAGCAGGATTCAAAACGATCTTGACAGATTAGAGAGATGGGCCAAAACTAACAAAATGAAGTTCAACAGTGACAATGCAAGATACTCCACTTTGGCAGAAAAAAAGAAATGCAAAGATACAGAATGGGTGACGCCTGGCTCGAGAGCAGTACGTGTGAAAAAGATCTTGGAGTCCTCGTGGACAACAAGTTAAACATGAGCCAACAATGTGATGTGGCGGCAAAAAAAGCCAATGGGATTTTGGCCTGCATCAATAGGAGCATAGTGTCTAGATCTAGGGAAGTAATGCTACCCCTCTATTCTGCTTTGGTTAGACCACACCTGGAATATTGTGTCCAATTCTGGGCACCACAATTCAAGAGAGATATTGACAAGCTGGAATGTGTCCAGTGGAGGGCGACTAAAATGATCAAGGGTCTGGAGAACAAGCCCTATGAGGAGCGCTTAAGGAGCTGGGCATGTTTAGCCTGAAGAAGAGAAGGCTGAGAGGAGATATGATAGCCATGTATAAATATGTGAGAGGAAGCCACAGGGAGGAGGGAGCAAGCTTGTTTTCTGCTTCCTTGGAGCTAGGACGCAATGGAACAATGGCTTCAAACTACAAGAGAGGAGATTCCATCTGAACATGAGGAAGAACTTCCTGACTGTGAGAGCCGTTCAGCAGTGGAACTCTCTGCTCCAGAGTGTGGTGGAGGCTCCTTCTTTGGAAGCTTTTAAACAGAGGCTGGATGGCCATCTGTCAGGGGTGATTTGAATGCAATATTCCTGCTTCTTGGCAGGGGGTTGGACTGGATGGCCCATGAGGTCTCTTCCAACTCTTTGATTCTATGATTCTATGATTCTAAGATGTTCCCCTTAACTTCCAGGCAAGAGATGGTTAGAGCCCTCCTCCTTCTGCTGCTGCCATCATCCTTCAAGCATCCCTTTCCCTGGCGACACTAGAGAAGAGAGGCGGTGCGCCTCGCCTGTCTCTCCTCCATCCTTCCTGGAAAGCGCGCCTCCTCCTCCTCTTCTTCTTCCTCCTCCTCCTCTTTCTCCTCCTCCTCCTCCTTCCTCCGTTCTCCGGGGCTGGGCTGGGCTAGGCGGGGATTGGCTGCCAAGGCTGCCTTAGCCGGAGCGCAAAGGACCGCTGCTCTGCCTCCTTCCTCCTCCCTTTCCTCCTGCATCCCTTGGCCAGCCTTGGAGAAGGCGAGGTGAGTGCATAAGAGGGGGGCTTTCTCCACCCTTCCTCAACCCTTTCTCCCCATAGATGTGAGTGTGTACGTGCCTGGTGGGCACCTGGCCTTGGCACCTCCCTCTCCCCTTGTGCCCCTGCCCAAAGAGAGAGGAGACCCAGCTACTAAATAAACAGGGAGGGGCAGACCTCTTCCCTCTTCCCTCTTCCCTCTCCCCTCTTGATGTCTCCAGCTTTGGAATTGGGGATTCTTGGACTTGGCACCCATTATGCCAACTGGGCATTGTTCCTTTATGATAGACTGGGTGGTGAGTCTCAGCATTTCCCCCAATGCCATCCCTCGCCAGCCGGCGCTGTCCATGGTTGTTTTCTCCCTCCCTGGAAAGGTCATTGGAGGCCTTCCTCATCCCATCTGGACCAGGCCTGCTTTGCCTTTGGGTCTCTCCTCATCCCCCTCCTTGAGCACCACCACCAATGGGCTGATGTTCAGGTGCTTTTAGGCCATGCCAGGCCCAAAGATGGTGACCGGGTGCAGCAAGGAAGGACACATGGCATCTCCTAAAGGAGGTCTCCTTGGCCTTTCTGGAGTCGAAGGAGAATGAGGGAAGCAGGAATCGTGGGAAAGCCTTCTCCTATTTGCATATGCCTCTGTGTCTCTTTCACCTATAGTCCTAGCCAGTGATTTTATGCATCGTTGCATTGACTGGTAAAGCATGAGGGGCTTATCCATGATTTGCCAAAGCCCCCCACGAACAGAGCTGGAATGCCTGCAGTTCCTTTGTGTGTATCATCATTGCAGAAGAGATTCCCGGGGAATCGGGGCCCCAGCTTCCCTTCCCCTTAAGGGAACTATATATGAGCATGTCGGAACACAAAGTGCTGAGCTCCCCATTCGGAACGTTCCAGTTGTTTGCAAATTAGGTTTCTGTAACGCCGGGAAAGAGAGATTGAGTACACCAAGGAGCAGCCTTGGTGTGGTGATGACTTATTGGCATCCATTGTTTAATTAGCTGGGCTGGCAACTGAAGATAAGGGAAAACTAGGCCTTCTGTGGAATTCTCCCCTCTTTTCCCCTCCTGGAGCCTGCCCTTGCAAATGTCTGGATTGCTTTCAATGTGCATTCACAGTCAGGGAAACTTTTGGGGGGATCTGGTCACCCCAACGTAGTGTGGACCAAAGTAAGCAAATATTTGCTCTTTTTCATCAGGACAGAATGCTTCTGGAACATAGCCATACAGCCCAAAAAACTTACAGCAACCCATTTGCTCCTTTTATTTGGGGCTGCCGGTTAATGCGCTGAGCTGCTGAACTTCCAGACCAGTCAGCAGTTCAAATCCAGGGAACGGGGTAAGCTCCCACTGTTAGCCTCAGCTTCTGCCAACCTAGCAGATCGAAACATACAAATGTGAGTAGATCAATAGGTATGTTTCATCGGGAAGGTAACGGCACTCCATGCAGTCATGCCGGCCACATGACTTAGGAGGCGTCTACGGACAATGCTGGTTCTTTGGCTTAGAAATGAAGATGAGCACCATCCCCAGAGTCAGACACGACTAGATTTAATGTCAGGGGAAACCTTTACCTTCACCTTTAACCTTTTTGGCAGTAATATTGCAGTCATGCCAGCCACATGACCAAGGAGGTGTCTACAGACAATGCCAGCTCTTTGGCTTAGAAATGGAGATGAGCACCACCCCCATTGTCAGACACAACTGGATTTAATGTCAGGGGAAACCTTTACCTTTACCTTTAACATTTTTGGCACTAATATTGGAGAGTGGCTCCTGGCCAAGTGGTCCCTGGTCAAAAAAGGTTAGGAACCACTGCATTAAAACTGCTGAGCTGCTGAACTTGCTGACTGAAAGGTTGGTGGTTCGAATCCGGGGAGTGGGGTGAGCTCCCACTGTTAACCCCAGCTTCTGTCAACCTAGCAGTTTGAAAACATGTGCATGTGAGTAGATCAATAGGTACTCCTTCGGCAGGAAGGTAACAGCACTCCATGAAGTCATGCTGCCCACATGACCTTGGAGGTGTCTATGGACAATGCCGGTTCTTCAGCTTCAAAATGGAGATGAGCACCAATGCTCAGAGATAATGTTAATGATTAGACTTAATGTCAAGGGGAAATATTTACTTTTATAAGGAAAGAGCGATATTGATCCACACCTGTTCAGAAGTCTGAAGTAGGGCTTGGTGGGAAAGGGACTACAAGAAAGGAGATTCCATCTGAATATTAGGATGAACTTCCTGACTGTGAGAGCTGTTCAGCAGTGGAACTCTCTGCCCCAGAGTGTGGTGGAGGCTCCTTCTTTGGAAGCTTTTAAACAGAGGCTGGATGGCCTTCTGTTGGGGGTGCTTTGAATGCAATTTTCCTGCTTCTTGGCAGGGGGTTGGACTGGATGGCCCATGAGGTCTCTTCCAACTATGATTCTGTGACTGAGAATGTGTGTGCCTTTCTGCTTGGCATCATGGCATTTGTGGGTACTTTCCTTGGTTACATGTGGCTCTCCATAAACACAATGAACAGCAACAGTGGTGATGATGGGGAATGGTCACTTTGTGCCCTTCTTGAGAGCTTCCCAGTAGCTCCTACAATGGGAAAGCGGATATTGTTATCCTTTGGTGTGCTTCTGTAGAGCCTATGCCAAAGGTCTTCTGCTCAAGATTATCGGTAGACCGCATGGGGGGTTGTTAATAGGCCTGGGTAACAACGGAAAAATTTGTTTCTAAAATCGATTTGTATTTGGGGTTTTTTTTTGTTTCGATATTTAAAATAATTACAAAATTTTCCTTTTAAAAAGTTCGATATTTACGAAATTTCGTAAATGGTAAAAAATTAACGAATCGATTTCCAAAACAATAACGAATCGATTCGTTAATGGCGGACGTGACCACAAAATACGCTAAAAAACCTCCAAAACCTTCTGAAGCTTCCCTCTCCCTCTGTTGTTGACTGTTGGTGTGATATTATAATTTTTTTTCACTAATTAAACCATAAAACTGGCCCAGACATGCGGAAATAATAACGAAACAACCTCAAAACAATAACAAAACGAATACAATATCGAAATACGAAGCATTTACAAAACGTTTTTGAAAATTCGTTTTTTTAAATAATTGCTCCAGAATGGTTCGTTATCGTTTTGTAATTGAAAAAATTAACGAATTATTAACGAATTACGAATTAACGAAACGAAACCGCCCAGCCCTAGTTGTTAAGTCAATGGAAAGGTGAGCACCACAACAGCTAAAAAATGGCTTAGCAGAGTCATCCGCTTCAGAGTCAAAATCCCAAGGGAATGCACAAATAAGGTATAGACTTCCTACAAAAGAGACAAAACTTCAATTTCTGAGTATACTACGGCTATCAAATATTAGAATGTTAGGCCAGACCCTGCTTTCCTGCAGCCTGCCAACGTATAATTCCATAACACCAAAACTTCAAAACACCAAAATCTCAAAACTTCTTTGCTTAAGAACAATGCCAAGGCACAGATCTCTGTTTTCCATACAGCAGATCTGACTCCCTGCACAAAATCTAAGACTCCAAAAGCACACTTCTTCCTCTTCCCTTGAGAAAGAAGCCCCAAAGTGACCAGACTGCTCCCGTGCAAATCTGCCACTATCCATAGGTACACTATCTCTCTCCTTCCCATGGAGCAGAGCATAGTAGATGAACCAGACTCCTCAGGTCTGTCACACTTTGAGCATTATTAGACCGAGTCTTTTATAGGAATATTCTGTTGATGCAGTCCCAAAGTTGAAAATTAATAATAAACATCTTCTATCCTGGATCCAGCTCAGTTTCCTGGCCAGATGTTGATCTTCTTGATTGGTGTTGACAAACACAAGGCTTGTGTTGACTTCCTTCTTAACATAAGGAATGTTATAAACATTTCTGTTATCACTCTCCCAGTAGTTATCAGAGTTTACTATTAACAACTTTTAATTATAGTCCAGCAAGCAGGTAGTGTTATCAGAGTTTACTATTAGCAACTTTTAATTACAGTCCAGCAAGCAGGTAGTGTTATCAGAGTTTACTATTAGCAACTTTTAATTATAGTCCAGCAAGCAGGTAGTGTTATCAGAGTTTACTATTAGCAACTTTTAATTACAGTCCAGCAAGCAGGTAGTTAGTCATTGCAGGCCTTAATATTTTACTGGTACATCCAAAATTATTAGCTCCATCCATACATTCATCTTCCATTCTTCCATTCATTCCCACACATCATTATTAAATTCACATTTGTCAAATATTTTCATGACATGAGGATGCCTGTCATAGATGTGGGTGAAAAGTCATGGCCATGTTCCAGAAGTATTCTCTTCTGATGTTTCACCTGCATCTATGGCAGGCATTCTCAAATGTTGTGAGGTCTCAAAACCTCTGAGAATGCCTGCAGTAGATGCAAGCAAAACATCAGGAGAGAATGCTTCTGGAACATGTCCATACAGTCCAGAAAACTCACAGCAACTCAGAGATTCTGGCCATGAAAGTCTTCGACAACAATTTATTTATTTATTTATTTATTTGCTGTATTTGTATACTGCCTTTCTCAGCCTTTCGACGACTCAAGGCCGAAACCACTGAATATGTCAAAAGTCCCATCTGCTTTTGGTTATGACTGGCATTGGTTCCAGGTTACCTTCCAGATTTCTTAGAAGCTGCTTGCCTTGAAGACATTCACCAATTCAAGGGGATTGTTTGTTTTTTCTCAGTGTTGCCTTCGAGATGGAAGTGTGGGACATCTCAGAAAGTGGACTGGAGGTAGAACAACCCATTGGGATGTTTGTCCTGCACACATCTCATTGAAATGCGTTCCCAATTGATTGTGCTTATTGTACTGAGAGTATGAAACATTTTGCAGCCATATAAATGTCTTTCACGCTTTGATGGCCTCTTATTCTCAATTTATATTACTAAAGCAGGTCCTTGGGTAAGTCACTGGATAAGGCAAATGGCTTTCCGTAATTCCAATCCTAAGACCGTGGATTGCTTCTTCCACACTCTATAACAGGATTGGCCAAGTTGGGTCCTGTGGGTGCTTTGGACTTCAACTCCCACCATTCCTAACAGCCTCAGTCCCCTTCCTTTTCTCCCTCTGTCGCTTAAGCGGCGGAGGGGGAAAAGGAAAGGGTCTAAGGCTGTTAGGAATGGTGGGAGTTGAAGTCCAAAGCACCCACAGGACCCAACTTGGCCTATGCCTGCTCTACAAGAGATATGACTGATCAGGCTATTGTCTCTATTGTGAAGGAGACGCCAAGGTTCAACTCACCTGGAGTTCCTCCAGAGTTGGATTGGATCCTCTTTTGGATTTTTATTTGGTTAGGAACTGCGCTGGCTGGAGGCCAATAATGCAGTGGGTGTCTTATCAAGATCTGCGACGTGATGGACGGCCCCAGCTGGGCACTCATCACCTTATTGCAGCCGTGAGCCTGGGGTGGGGTCAGGACACTTAGATTGGGGTGAACTGCTTCCCAGACTAGGCCAGGCATTCGAAGGAATCACATTCAGTCTGGAAGAAAGCAGAAAAATGAGGTTTGAAATTGCAAGGAGCCAATGTCCTAGTGTTTTTTTTTTTTTCAGAGCTAGCCCCACCCAAAGCCAAGACAAAAGCTGCATTTTGTCTTCAAGACCTGAGATCCTTTCCTGGGATGCTGCCCTACATGGGTTCATCAAGGGTGGAAGGACTGGTAACATATTCCCAGGGTTCTAGATAAGGGAAAGAGCTTTCCCAGCCAGGGACTTTGTTTTCCAACTTGAGAAACTGCAAGTCGCTTCTGGTGTGAGAGAATTGGCTGTCTGCAAGAACATTGACTAAAGGAAGCCCTGATGTTTTGATGTTCTTCCATCCTTGTGGGAGGCTTCTCTCATGTCCCGACATGGGGAGCTGGAGCTAACAGAGGGAGTTCATCCACACTCTGCCCAAATTCGAACCTCCAATCTGTCAGCCTTCAGGCCTGCCAGCACAAGGGTTTAACCCAGTGGTTCTCAACCTGGGGTCTCCAGATGTTTTTGGCCTTCAACTCCCAGAAATCCTAACAGCTGGTAAACTGGCTGGGATTTCTGGGAGTTGTAGGCCAAAAACATCTGGGGATCCCAGGTTGAGAACCACTAGTTTAACCCATTGCACCGCTGGGGGCTCCAATGATTAACTGACATATTGCATGGCTTTCATGGCTGGAATCACTGGGTTGCTGTGAGTTTTCCAGGCTGTATGGCTATGTTCTAGAAGCATTCTCTCCTGACGTTTCGTTCACAACTAGCCAGGGATTCCCTATCCAGGGACTGAACTTGCAAGGGATTTTTGTATGCAAAGCAGTGGCCCTTCCTTTTCTGTCTTGTGATGCATGGCTTTTTCAGAGTACCAATTCTGCAAATGGATTGCAAGAATGATATAATAATGGAAGAGACCACATTGGCCATCTAGTCCAACCCCTACCATGCAGGAAAAGCACAATCAAAGAACCCCCGACAGATGGCCATCCAACCTCTGTTTAATAGCCTCCAAGAAAAGAACTTCCACCACAGGATGACCGTTTATTGTGGAACTTCGCTAGGAGTGCTTGGTACTTTATTTATGTTAGAAAGAAGGACTCTGCCCCAAGGAGGTTCCAGTCAGAAAGTAGGTAAAAGGTAAAGGTTTTCCCCTGACATTCAGTCGTGTCCCGCTCTTGGAGTTGGTGCTCATCTCCATTTCTAAGCCGAAGAGCCAGTGTTGTCTGTAGACACCTCCAAGGTCATGTGGCCGGCATGACTGTATGGTGTGCTGTTACCACCCCTATTGATCTACACACATTTGCATGTTTTTGAACTGCTAGGTTGGCAGAAGCTGGGGCTAACTGTGGGAGCTCACCCCACTTTCCAGATTTGAACCTGCGATCTTTCAGCAGCTCAGTGGTTTAACCCACTCACCTCCGGGGACTTCAGTTAGAAAGTAAAAAGTAAACAATGGGATTTTTTTTTTCGTGTCAGGAGCAACTTGAGAAACTGCAACTTGAAAATTGGCCATCTGCAAGGACGTTGGCTAGGGACGCCCGGATGTTTTACCATCATGTGGGAGGTTTCTCTCATGTCCTCACATGAGAAGCTGGAGCTGACAGATGGAAGCTCACCCTGCTCCCCAGATTTAAACTGCCCACCTTTTGGTCAGCAGTCCTGCCGGCACAAGGGTTTAACCCATTGCACCACCTGAACCAAGTAGTTGGGAGCTGAGGAAAAGTGTGTAATTGTTTGGCTCCATACATATTAAGACATAGTTCCAGGCTTCATGATATCTGTCATGTGAAGAAATGTGGGAAATGGGCCCAAGGATGAGTTTGGGGTAAGAATTCGAAGAAAGCAAAGGATGGAATGGTAAAGTCTCTGAAAATCAGGTATAGGAGTAAACATTTCTAGGCTGAGAACCATATCTAGGGAGACAGGATTGTCCATCAACAGTTGGCACATCTGGGTAGCAAACCAAGCAGGCAAGCATACAAGGCACCTTATCACAGTTTGCTCCTTCTATGCTCCTCCTAGCTGAATTATAGCAATTCTTTATACAGGTTTTCAAATCCCCACTCAACCATGATAACTTGCCAGGTGATCTTGGGCAAGTCGTGCAGTCCTAACCTCAGAAAACCTCTTGCATTCAGCTCAGCATTAAGCCAGAAACAGCCGTGCAGGCAAACAAGAACAACAATGAATAGAACAATTTAAAATCATTAAAGACAACAAAACTGCACAGTACACCATTAAAAGCCCATCAGGTCCATTCCTAAAAGCCTGACAAAGCAGGGATGCTTCTATTTGACAATGGGAAAAAAGTAATCAGGGAACCATCCTAGAATCTCTAGAGCAATGGTTCCCATCCTTTTTTTGACCAGGGATCAATTGACCAGGGACCATTTCACCAGGGACCACTTTGATTAGGGATGACTTCACCAGGGACCACTTGAGCAGGGACCACTTGACCAGGGACAGCTTTGACCAGGGACAACTTTGACCAGGGACCACTTTGACCAGGGATTGCTTTGACCAGGGACCACTTGACCAGGTACCACTTGACCAGGGACCACTTTGACCAGGGACCACTTTGACCAGGGACCACTTTGACCAGGACCACTTTGACCAGGGACCACTTGACCAGGGACACTTTGACCAGGGACCACTTGACCAGGGACACTTTGACCAGGGACCACTTGACCAGGGACACTTTGTTGCCCAGGGACCACTTTGACCAGGGACCACTTTGACCAGGGACCACTTTGACCAGGGACATTGACCAGGGACCACTTTGACCAGGGACCACTTTGACCAGGGACCACTTTGACCAGGGACCACTTTGACCAGGGACCACTTTGACCAGGGACCACTTGACCAGGGACCACTTTGACCAGGGACCACTTTGACCAGGGACCACTTTGACCAGGGACCACTTGACCAGGGACCACTTGACCAGGGACCACTTGACCAGGGACCACTTTGACCAGGGACCACTTTGACCAGGGACCACTTGACCAGGGACCACTTTGACCAGGGACCACTTGACCAGGGACCACTTAACCAGTGACCACTTGACCAGGGACCACTTGACCAGGGACCACTTGGCCAGGGACCATTTGACCAGGGACAACTTTGGCCAGGGACCACTTTGACCAGGAACCACTCTCAAACATTAGTACCAAAGGGTTTACTAATCAGTGTTTGGTCAACTTCAGTTTGGTTATTTGGGGTGCTGATTCAGAAAATTGCATTGGATAGACCACATCAGCTCTAGTTTCTGATACACAACATATACCATCCAGTAGTCGCCGTATCTTCACCCACAGAAAACCATATTTAATAAGTCTTGGCACTAAAAGAGAGTTTTGCAGTACCAGTCGCTCTTGTTGCAATAATGTAGTAATGGTGAGGCTGCGGACCATATTATTTTAGTTCTTGCAAACTGCTGGTGGTTCATGGAGCACAGGTTGGGATCCACTGCTCTAGAGAATGAGTACTAAAGTCTTGGAGCAGCCACTGAGAAGGCCCTCTCCCTTGTTTCCACCAAACAAGCTTGAAAAGCTAATACGGGAGAGAAAAATTGTAGTTCTTCTGTGAGCTAGGACATTTCTGGAATCCTATGTAGATAGGAGGCTTGTTTTTGTTTTGCAAGGCATTGCAAAGGATGTTACCTTGTTGACTGCAACTTATAAACGCTTCTCCCAAACCTTTCTTTCTCTGGTCTGATTTAGTTCTCTCTGAAATCTTCAACCCAACAGGAATTTCCAGCAGCCTCTTGCAGATTCAAGAATTCATGAATTCCCCACATGTGGATCCGTGACGGGATCTGCTTCTCCACCACGACAGCAAGATGGCAAACGTTTCTCCAGCTAAGCTGGATAACATGGAAGCCCAGCAACAGCAGCAGCAGCAGCAACAACAACAAAATAACAACACTCGGTGGGAAAATACAGAGCATCACCATCCCCACCGAACCTGGGATGAGACCACTGCCACTGCCAAACTCTTCGAATGCTCTCGGATCAAAGCATTAGCTGGTAGGTCGATGTCTTGGGTCCAGATTATGCATGGACAAACTTTGGCCCTCCAGGTGTTTTGGACTCCAACTCCTACAGTCCCTAACAGCCTCAGGCCCTTTCCTTTTCCTCCTCAGCTGCTTAAGTGCTGTTAAGGATTGTGGGAGTTGAAATCCAAAACACCTGGAGGGCCCAAGTTTACCCATGCCTGGTCCAGACACTCCTGTGCTTATCAATATCAGATCTAATTGTGGTCTTTGCCTTATGGTGAGTAGAAGGGAGAAATCTTGAATGGCAGATCAAAAACATAGCAAACCATTATTACTATTATTGTTATTACTTCCTGCCTTTCCCCCCAGTCTGAGTCTTTAGGTGGCTTATAAAAGTTGAAAGAGATGGAGCTTTGAAATTTACCAAGTAGTGGCTGGCATTCTGTTAATCAGTTATGACATTGCAGATTGGGCTCACTACTTTGTAATTGGTTCCTGTTCACATTTATGATCATGGTTATTAATTTATTGTATCAGAAGTGAACCAAGGTTACAGTTGTAATGTATTCAAAAACCTAAACAAAGTTTAAAAACTTGGCAGTATACTAAATGTCCTTTGACCAGAAGCTGGCCACTTGGAGTGCCTCTGGTGTTGCCATAAAAAGGTCCTCCATTGTGCATGTGGCAGGGCTCAGGCTGCATTGTAATAGGTGGTCTGTGGTTTGGTGCCATTACCATCATTATGAATGCCTCATTAAAATACATATAGCTACAGCAATGGATGGATATTTGCAGTGTCGGTGAGTATAGTGCTGACGGATGATGTACCCAGTTCTCTCCTACTAGCATATTTGGCCACTTGAACAATAAACAATCAAATTCTTGCTGAAATGTAAAGGTAAAGTCCCAGTTTAAGATCTCTAGAACAGTCACCAAGAATGTCCTCTCAGACGTCCTCACCAGATGTACCTGTAAAGGTGGCCTCATAGCGAGAAGGGCTTCCCTAAAAGATCTAAAAATGTGGGCAGCTCAATCAATCCATCACCATATAGGTCATAATCTATCCCTTTAGGCCAGCGTTTCTTAACCTGGGAGTCAGGACACCCGGTGTGTGTGTATGTGTGTGTGTGTGTGTGAGGGGGTTTCAGAGGGGTCATCAAAGACCATCAGAAAGCAGTATTTTCTGTTGGTCATGGAGGTTCTGCATGGGAAGTTTGGCCCAATTCTGTTGTTGGTGGGGTTCAGAACGCTATTTGATTGTAGGTGAACTATAAATCCCAGCAACTACAACTTCTAAATGTCAAGGTCTATTTTCACCAAACTCCACCAGTGTTCACATTTGGGTATATCGAATATACGTGAAGGTTTCCTCCAGATCCATCATTGTTTGAGTTCACAGTGCTCTCTGGATGTAGGTGAACTACAACTCCAAAACTCTAGGTCAGTGCCCACCAAACCCTTCCAGTATTTTCCATTGGCCATGGTAGTTCTGTGTACCAAGTTTCCATCATTGGTGAAGTTCAGAATCCTCTTTGATTGTAAATCTCAGAAACTACAACTCCCAAATGACAAATTTATTTATTTATTTATTTATTTATTCCATACATTTCTATCCCGCCCTTCTCCCCATAAGGGGGACTCAAAATCAAGTATTTGTGCCAAATTTCATCCAGTGAATGAAAATACATCTTGCATTACAGATATTTACATTATGATTTGTAATAGTAGCAAAACTACAGTTATGAAGTAGCAACAAAATAATTTTATGGCTGGGGGTCACCACAACATGAGGAACTGTATTAAGGGGTTGTGGCATTAGGACGGTTGAGAAACACTGTCATAAACTATCCCTTTCAACCGTGAGGCTTTATAGGTCATAACTATAAGACATCCTTCCAGGGGAAAACAAAAACCAGGAAGTAGGTGGCACTCTAATTCTCATTGGATTAGAGACAGCATTTTAATCCAGTGAGGGTTTCCATTGTCTCCTCCGATGCATGTCAAAGGAAAGCCCTGAGTGTTTCACAAGAGAGCTGCATTCTGGACACCTGGATTCTCCCTGGTGTTCTTAAGGGTGTGGGGCATCACCTAACAACCTCAAATTCTGGCAGATGAACGAGATGCTGTCCAGAAGAAGACTTTCACCAAGTGGGTCAACTCTCACCTGAGCCAAGTCTCCTGTCGAATCAATGACCTCTACACAGACCTGCGGGATGGCTACATGTTGACAAAGCTGTTGGAAGTTCTGTCTGGAGAGCAGTTGGTAAGTGGTGTGTGTGTTTGTGTCCTTATATACCCTTGGCTGCTGGAGAAGACATCTAGCACTTTCTTTCTTCTAAGGGAGAAGGGGCCACTTCCATAAAGCCAGATACATAGCTTACTCTGCCTAGTATTAGGAAGAATTATCCAACAATAGAGTGGACTTCTTCAGAAGATGATGAGTTCTCCTTCATTGGAGAAGGCTGGGTGGAGTCAAGGGTAGAGTCAAGATGAGAAATTACCATGAGATATGCTTCCTTGGGTACACTTCACTCCTGTTTTTCTTGTCCTTTCTGGAAGCCCAAGCCAACACGTGGCCGGATGCGGATCCACTCCCTGGAAAACGTGGATAAGGCACTGCAATTCCTGAAGGAGCAGCGAGTCCACCTGGAGAATGTGGGCTCCCATGACATTGTTGATGGCAACCATCGTCTGACGCTGGGCCTGATCTGGACCATCATCTTGAGGTTCCAGGTAAGGCTGAGAGGGACAAATGGGGAGCATGGTGTGGTGCTGCATGTGCCTTCCTGTCATTTGTTGAGCCCACAAAGAGAAACTCCAAGAGGTCCATGAGATCTGTGGCTATTATTTTCCTCTCCTGGAGCCTGCACCAGTCCAGATTTTGATGGCAGGGTTGTGGTGGGAAGGGAGGAGTGGTAGGCATGGACTCTTGCCATTCTGTCTTTCCCCATGGCTCCTTCTCAGATCCAGGTGATTAAAATTGAAACCGAAGACAACCGAGAGACCCGCTCAGCCAAGGATGCCTTGCTGCTCTGGTGCCAAATGAAGACAGCAGGGTAAGCAGGGTTTTTAGGATGGTAGTAGCAGTGACTGATTTGCCAACAGAAGCACAACTACAGACTTGAGTCTTTAGTCAGTGGGCAGTTGAGTGAAACCCCTCTGGATCCCCTCTCCCATCATGATCAGTCACTTGCCTCTTTGTTCTATTTTACTTTATTAAACATCCTTTCCCAGTTCATATTACAGTTTAGAAATAAAACACAAATGATACGACCAATGGTAATGGGCAGTTCCCATGTCAGTGGCATGGTAAATTCGTGCCATGTTTTCATCCAGGTTTGAAAGGAGTGCTCCAAGGTGCTGAAAAGTGGCCTTAACTAAGTTCAGAACTTTGGACAGCTCCTTTGATGGAATAGATTCACTACTTAAGAGCCACCAGCCACCATTTGATACATCAACCTCCAAACCTTAATATTTCATGGTGAAAAGTTCTAGTTCTGCATCATGCAGATTTCAGAAAACTACATCCAAAGTTGGTAAAAAGATTTTGCACTAATTCAATAAATCGGGGGCCCAGCAACAACTTTGGTGGGCATGAAAAGCAAAAGCAAAGGAATACTGATGTTTATTTATATTGCACCTTTCCCCTAGTTTGGGACTCAAAATGGCTTGCCACAGGTAAAGCAAACAAAATTGAATATTAGAAGTGTTTTTGACCAAGGAACATTCTCCCATGTCAGTAGGGTCACTCATTTCCCTAAGCTCCCAATTACATTGCTCCAAGTTACCTTTTGCCATTTGGTTTGAGTGAAATGGTGAAGGATGATCACTTCAATATAAAGTTGCAGGAATGCCTGCTTTGCTTTCTTGTAACTATCCTTCTCTTCTCAGGTACCCCGAAGTCAATATCCAGAACTTCACTACCAGTTGGAGGGACGGGCTAGCTTTCAATGCCCTCATCCACAAGCACAGGTATGAAGAAGGGCCAAGGCTGCTATGACACAATTGTGTCAGGCTGGGTTTGGATTATCGATGCTAGTAGTTCCTTAAGAGCAGTGGTGCTCAACCTGTGGGTCCTAAGATGTTATGGCCTTCAACTCCCAGAAATCGTAACAGCTGGTAAACTGGCTGGGATTTCTGGAAGTTGTAAGCCAAAACACCTGGCGACCCACAGGTTGAGAACCACTGCGTAAGAGGGACACAATATCTGCCTTTTAGCTAGTCTAGGGCAGAAACACCAGTAGTGTCTTCGCAAGCAGCTCAGGTCTCCAGTCAATGATGTGTTGGGAGAAGAAATGTAATTTGTCACATCAGTTTACCCTCTCCATAAAGTTGGTGTCATCAGAATGAGGGAGGAATTTGAAAGGCATAAATGCACTGAGAGCTGGAGTTACAAAGAGCGATTATGCATAGTCAGAAGTTTGTTTGAAGCAGTTGTAGCAATAATGGAACTCTCCAAATGTCATTGGAATGCATCTCCCAGCATCCCTCACTCTGTGCTGCCAAGGGTCATGGGAGTTGTATTCCAGCATCTGGAAGTCCTTGCCTCACCTGTGATTTAAAGCCATCCCTCTCTGTTATAACAAAGACAGAGGGAATATAGGCAGGAAGAGAATTGGGACCTTTTCTCTCAGGTATGGCCTTCTCATTCCCTCCGCAGGCCGGACGTCATTGATTTCAGGAAGCTAACCAAATCCAATGCTGCCTACAACCTCCAGCAGGCCTTCAACACAGCAGAGCAACAGCTGGGCCTTGCCAAACTGCTGGATCCGGAAGGTAATGTCCTCAATTGACCTGCTGAGTGATGAACAGGAGGAGAACCTATCTATAGCTGCTTTGAGACAGGAGAACGTGTACTTGGGATGTTCCATTCTTGGCAGCAATTCCTATTTAAAGCCAAGAAGGTCCAATTCTGCTGGAGTTCCACTGCTTATAGAAACAGAAGATAGTTATGAGTGAGGAAGAAATGGAGACTCATATTGGAGTATATTTTCTGTATGTTCACACCTAGAATCATAGAATCAAAGAGTTGGAAGAGACCACATGGGCCATCCAGTCCAACCCCCTGCCAAGAAGCAGGAATATTGCATTCAAATCACCCCTGACAGATGGCCATCCAGCCTCTGTTTTAAAAGCTTCCAAAGAAGGAGCCTCCACCACACTCCGGGGCAGAGAGTTCCATTGCTGAATGGCTCTCACAGTGTGGAAGTTCTTCCTCATGTTCAGATGGAATCTCCTTTCTTGTAGTTTGAAGCCATTGTCCGCGTCCTAGTCTCCAGGGAAGCAGAAAACAAGCTTGCTCCCTCCTCCCTGTGGCTTCCTCTCACATATTTATACATGGCTATCATATCCCCTCTCAGCCTTCTCTTCTTCAGGCTAAACATGCCCAGCTCCTTAAGCCGCTCCTCATAGGGCTTGTTCTCCAGAACCTTTATCATTTTAGTCGCTCTCCTCTGGACACATTCCAGCTTGTCAATATCTCTCTTGAATTGTGGTGCCCAGAATTGGACACAATATTCCAGGTGTGGTCTAACCAAAGCAGAATAGAGGGGTAGCATGACTTCCCTAGATCTAGACACTATGCTCCTATTAATGCAGGCCAAAATCCCATTGGCTTTTTTTGCCGCCACATCACATTGTTGGCTCATGTTTAACTTGTTGTCCACGAGGACTCCAAGATCTTTTTCACACGTACTGCTCTCGAGCCAGGCATCCCCCATTGATTCTATATCTTTGCATTTCGCATTAACCTGGCAGGCTAATATTTGAGGTCCGTAACTGTACCAGAGGACAAGAATTGTGTTACACATGCAGTACAGTGTTTCTCAAGTTGGGGGTCAGGACCCCTGGGGAGATTGCGAGGGGGGTGTCAGAGGGGTTGCTAAAGACCATTAGAAAACACAGTATTTTCTGTTGGTCATGGGGGTTCTGTGTGGGAAATTTGGCCCAATTCTCTTGTTTGTGGGGTTCAGGATGCTATTTGATTTTAGGTGAACTATAAATCCCAGCAACTACAACTCCCAAATGTCAACATCTATTTTCCCCAAACTCCACCAGTGTTCATATCTGGGCATATTGAGTATTTGTGCCAAGTCTGGTCCAGATCCATCATTGTTTGAGTCCACAGTGCTCTCTGGATGTAGGTGAACTACAACTCTAAAACTCAAGGTCAATGCCCACCACACCCTTCCAGTATTTCCTCTTGGTCATGGGAGTTCTGTGTGCCAAGTTTGGCTCAATTCCATCATTGGTGGAGTTCAGAATGCTCTTTGATTGTAGGTGAACTATAAATCCCAGCAACTACAACTCCAAAATGACAAAATCAATTCCCTCCCTACCTGCCAAACCCCGCCAGTATTTCAATTTGGGCATATTGGGTATTTGTTCCAAATTTCGTCCAGTGAATGAAAATACACCCTGCATATCAGATATTTGCATTACGATTCAGAACAGTAGCAGAATTACAGTTATGAAGTAGCAACGAAAATAATTTTATGGTTGGGGGTCACCACAACATGAAGAACTGTATTAAGGGGGTCATGGCTTTAGAAAGATTGAGAAACATTGCTATAGTATTTTCTAGATGTTTTCTATGCAACTAAGAATGGTTGCATTGGAGTCGAATTTATATTATGTGACCTAGCAAACTGGAAGGATCCTCAGACACAAGTCAAGGTGGGTCCAGAGTTTAGGAAATTTCCTCTCTTTTTTTGGACTACATGTCCCAGGGAGTGCAAGTATGGTGCAGTGATTTAGATTCAGATTCCAGGAGATAAGAATTCAAATCTCTCTGCAGCCACGGGGTGACCTCGAAAACAACAAATGCAAATGTCCTCTGAATACATCTTGTCAGGAAAATCCAATCATAGGTTCTCTGTAAGTCAGAGCACCATTATAGAAATCTCCAGCACAAAAAGAGGCTTCCAAATTTTGGGGAACACTCAGTTGCTTACCAAGGCTCAGTTGAGGAGTTCTCCTCTGTGTTTTCTCGCTTGCCTTTTGGCATTCTTGGTATGTTTGTGTGTATGTATGTGCGCAGCGCCTGCTGTGAGCTCCTTACTCTAATCACATCTCCCTGATCTGCCATGATCTGATTGGTTTTAATCTAATCATTCTAATCAGGCCGCCTTTTAATCTGCCTCGCTGGCTTTTAATTCCTCCTCCTGCCGCTGCCAGCCATTTCGCTCCCTCCTGCTTGCCTGCCTTGCCGTCCTTTCCCTTCTTGAGCTGCCTTCTGGAATCCCTCCTTCGCTGGATGAAATGTGAGACGTGCAAACCGCCCAGCTGTGATGTGGAACTCCCTGTATCCAGGCCACGCTTTCCTCATTTGTAGGCGAGGGATTTGATCCGCTGTCTGCTGAACTAGACATCTGATAGAAAGAAACCCGCTCCTTCCACCCATCCATCTCTCTGCCTCCAGCTTCATTTTGATCTGCCATATTATCTCTACGCTTATCCACTTTTTTTTAATTTCCTGGCAGAAATCTCTAGAATCTTCACCCAAAGGTTAAGTCTAGTAAGCAACCACAGTATGACCTCTATTATTATTTATTGTGTGAGAAGCAAATTGGGAATACAGTGTTCCCTCGCTACTTCGCGGTTCGCTTTTAGCAGACTTGCAGTTTTGCGGGTTTTTGAAAAGATTAATCTATATAAATAAAAATGTAATGTTAGTTTGTGGGATTGTTGTTGTTCATTCATTCAGTCGTCTCCGACTCTTCGTAACCTCATGGACCAGCCCACGCCAGAGCTCCCTGTCGGCCGTCACCACCCCCAGCTCCTTCAAGGTCAGTCCAGGCACTTCAAGGATGCCATCCATCCATCTTGCCCTTGGTCAGCCTCTCTTCCTTTTGCCTTCCACTTTCCCCAGCATAATTGTGGGATTAACATAACTCAAAAACCACTAGACGAATTGACACAAATGTGGGCACAATACACCTGTCAGGCCACCGAGTGACCATCACTCATAAAAACACTGAAAAACACAGCAGAAGAGACTTAAAAGGCCAAAAAACAAGAAATACATTACAATGCATGCACAAAACCACATACACATATATACAAACAAATAATAATAATAATAATAATAATAATAATAATAATAATAATAATTTGTACCCCACCACAATCTCCGCAAAGGGGACTTGGAGCGGCTAACATGAGGCCAAGCCCAAAATTACAGTTCAGCACAATAAAATACAAAGAAGCAGAAAATACCATCAAAATAAATACATGAAATAACAAAATAAAATAAAGAATTACAAAATAACATGATAGAGAAATAGAACACAATGGGCGGGCCAAATGCACTAGGATAAAATTGATATACACATATACACAAATATATACACACACAAAACACATATACACAGACTGCGCCACAGCAACGCGTGGCAGGGGATAGCTAGTCTGTATATATAAAAATGCAATGTTCGTTTGTGGGATTAACATAACTCAAAAACCACTAGATGAATTGACACCAAATTTGGGCACAATACACCTATCAGGCCAATGAGGGACCATCACTCATAAAAACATTGAAAAACGCAGCAGAAGGATCTAAAAAGCCAAAAAAGCAAAAAGATATTTCGGGGCATGTGCAGAAATGACTGCCCCGGCAAACAAATAACACAATAGCATATTCACACTCTCTTCCAGACTACTGTGCCCAGCATCCCCAGCATCCTCTTTTGAGGAGAGGAGGATGATACAAATGCACTGTTTCAAGCTGCGAGCTTTCTTCTTCTTTAATTTCTTTGAGAGCAAAGTTTGCCCATGACTGATCTATACTGTAGAATTTATGCTATTTGGCATCACTTTAGCAATCATGGCTCTAATGCTATGGACTCGTGGGATTTGTAGTTTTACAAAGGTTCCCCCCCTCTCTGCCAATATGTGCTGGTGTCTCACCAACTTGCAACTCTTCTGACTCCATAGTACTGAGCCATGGCAGATAAAAAGTGGTGTTGTATTGCAATATTCTACAATGTACATGCATCCTGTGATGTGTTGCTCAGAGAGCACACTTTGCCCACCACTTCCCTCCACAAACCAAGATTCTGACCCAAAAGAGCGCAGAATCGCCTTTCAAGGTAATTGGATATGCCAATCTTCTCAACTCTTTGCCCAATGTTCTCAGTCAAAAGCCTGTGGTTTCTTTCCATCTTCTACTTGACATGCATTCCAGGGTGAATGCACCAAGCTCTCATTTGTTGACTCCATATCTGCTCCCTTTCAAATCCTCATCTCTGTGTCTGCAACTACAGATGTTAACATGGAGCATCCTGACGAGAAGTCCATCATCACTTATGTCGTCTCCTACTACCATTACTTCTCCAAGATGAAGGCCCTGGCTGTAGAAGGGAAGAGGATCGGGAAGGTGAGTTTCAAATGGGAGAAGAGTAGTCCCAACACTCTTTGCACAAGCAGGAGGTCTTTCTTCTTCTGTTGTTGAGAAAGCCGTGCTGTTTCTGCCTGGCATTGTGGTGGCTCTCCAGGGTAGTTGTCTAGAACCAATAACCTGTAGGAAACTCAGTTGTCACTCAAGAAGGACCGAATGAACACAATATGTGCTAATTTAGAATGCTTAGTCTAAATTATTATTATTATTATTATTATTATTATTATTATTATTATTATTTACTGTATTTATATACCTCTTTTCTCACTCCAGGGGGGACTCAAAGTGGTTTACAACAAATAATGGCAAAATTCAATGCCTCACATATATAAAACCAAATCATAAATCTAAACAAAGCATATAATTATGCATTAAAATCAATAAGACAATTAAACATAAGATAAAACAACATTTCAACATGAGGACATAAAAATGAAGGACATTTAAATTGCCTTAAGGCCTCGGAGGAAGGAGGGAAAAGCAGAGCTTTAGTAACCTCAGTTTATAGTTTGCCTTTGAAGAAAGAAGGAAGGACGAGGCTCAAATAGGGGTGCGACTATTATGTGAGGAAACAAATGTATTATTTTTGGCACTCCAAAAATGCAACTATGATGCAGTGATTATTGTTACGTGATGAAATTGGAGTTCAAAATGCACAATGGAGTATTTTTGGTTCAGATTCTGGAATTTTAGATCTTCTCATCCACCTACCGCCCCAAAAGCCCGCTCTTGATGTGTTATCTGTAAGACGCACACAAACATTTCAGTACCACCAACAGGGAAAAAATCTACTCATGATTCTATTGACTCATCCCATTTTTACAGATGTTTACATGGGGAAAATGTGTTTTAGAATTAAAGACAAACAGTATGTATGTATCCTTTGAGTCAACTTATAGCGATGCAGTAAATTTCATAGACACAGCTGAGAGAGTTGATTTCCAGTTAAAACTCATGTGGTGACAATAATATTTTTGGAAATAAATTGCTATCTTCTGTGATTAGCAGAGGAGGATTGCCATCCACCAAGGAACTGCTACTAATGGAGGAAGTTATCGTGATGTAAATAATTGAGGGAGCTTCGTTATTACAGCTGAATGAATAAGAAGCTCAAGTTGGAGGATGCTGGGAGGATGGGTTTTGTAAGAAAAGCCTTGAGTCTATGAGCCCCTCTTTCCTTGGATTTTTCCATCCCCAACACCCCAACACCCTTAATTTTCCCATGTATGTCCCAATCTGGCTGTGGATGTGCAACTTGCTCATGCCCTTCCTTTTATGCAGGTGCTAGATCAAGTCCTGGGGATTGAGAAGATCATTGAACGCTATGAGTCTCTGGCCAGTGAGTTGCTGGAGTGGATCGAGCTCACCATTGCCATTATCAGCAACCAGAAGTTCGCCAACTCTCTCGCTGGGGTCCAACAGCAATTGCAAGCCTTCACCGCTTTCTGCACGCTAGAAAAGCCTGTGAAGTGAGTGGATGGGCAAGGAGTGCTGCAGCAAGACAGTGGGGAGATGGAGGCTTGGTGCTGGGAGGACTTACCTAAATGAGGCAGCAAAGAAAGTGATGAAGGGAAGATGCTTTCAGGAGTGCAAGAAGAGCATCATTGTTGTGTGCTTCCATGTTGTTTCTGATTTATGGTGGCCCTCAAGCAAAACTATGTGGAGCATAAAGTGCGTGGCTCAGCCAAGGTTACCCAGTGGATTTCTATGGCTGAGCAGTAACTTCATCTCCAGAAACATAGTCCAACATTACTTTAATATATATGTAATCCCCCCCCCAATGGAGAGGGGCCTCAATGGCACACTGAGCTGTTGAACTTGCTGACCAAAAGGTCAGCGGTTCGTATCCGGAGAGCACCATTAGCTCCCGTTGTTAACCCCAGCTCCTGCCAACCTAGCAGTTCAAAAACATGCAAATGTGAGTAGATCAATAGGTACTGCTGAGGTGGGAAGGTAACGGCGCTCCATGCAGTCTTGCTGGCCACATGACCTTGGAGGTGTCTACAGACAACATCGGCTTTTTGGCTTAGAAATGGAGAAGAGTACAAATCCCCAGAGTCGGACACAACTGGACTTAATGTCAGGGGAAAACCTTTACCTTTACCTTTATCTATTATAATGTAGTACAATATAACAGTACTACTAATAATACAATATAATAATTGTATATTCTATATTACATGTAATATTACTAATAATATTGCAGTATAGTGGTATATTATATAATACTAATATTGTGCCATGCCAATAATATAATATATTGTAGGTACATATAATATTGATCATAATATTATAATGTAATACAATATAATAATTATATGTTATATAGTAAAGGTAAAGGTTTCCGCTGACATTTATTTATTTATTTATTTATTTATTTACAACATTTGTATCCTGCCCATATCAGCCCAAAGGCGACATTAAGTGTAGTCAGAGGCGGCCCTAGGTAATTTTCAACGGTAAGCAAACAGTATTTTGGCACCCCCTCCCCCAACCAATCATTGATATATATTTTCTGTTCGTCGTGGGAGTACTGTGTGCCATATTTGGTTCAATTCCATCATTGGTGGAGTTCAGAATGCTCTTTGATTGTAGGTGAACTATACATCCCAGTAACTACAACTCACATATGTCAAGGTCTATTTTCCCCCAAGAGCGCCCCTGGGCAAAATCAACTGTACTGCAAATGCTTACTTTTCCGTAATGGCTTGAGCCGCCCCTGAGTGTAGTCATGTCTGACTCAGGGGGTTGGTGCTCACCTCCATTTCTAAGCCGAAGAGCAGGCGTTGTTCATAGGCACTTTCAAGTTCATGTAGCCAGCATGACTGCGTGCCATGCTGTTACTTTCCCAAAGAAGCACATTTGATCTACTCACATTTGCATGTTTTCAAACTGCTAGGTTGGCAGAAGCTTGCGCTAACAGCAGGAGCTCACCCTGCTCCTCAGATTCAAACCACTGACCTTTTGGTCAGCAAGTTCAACAGCTCAGCGGTTTAACCCACTGTGCCACCAGGGGCCCCCTGTATGAGTCTGATAATGGCACAAGCAGAATCTGGCCTTCTGGAAGGCTGATCTTTTGTTCATTGCTTATTGCCTACAGGTTTCAAGAAAAGGGGAACCTGGAGGTCTTGTTGTTCTCCATCCAGAGCAAACTCCGAGCCAACAACCGCAAGCTCTACATCCCCAAGGAGGGAAGGAGCATCTCTGACATCAACAAGGTGGGAGATTGGGTCAAAAGGCAGGGTTGGTATGTAGACAGTCAGCTCATCAGAGACATGAATGGAAAGCCTGCAAAGAAATGCCAAAGCCTGCATTTCTCTTCCTCCCACCCCATTCCTCTCACCCTCTCTCTCTCTCTTCTGCTATTCCCTCTCCTCTTGCCAGGCCTGGACCAGGCTGGAGAAGGCTGAACATGAGCGAGAGGTGGCCCTCCGCAATGAGCTGATCCGCCAAGAGAAGCTGGAGTTGCTGGCCCAGCGCTTTGACCACAAAGCCATCATGCGAGAAACCTGGCTGAATGAGAACCAGCGACTCGTCTCTCAGGTAACTGGAAGGCAAATGCTTGTTGTGCAGATGTGGAAGAAGTAAAGGAAAGAATTACAAAGGGTGGGAAGGGAAATTTGAATTCCAGCTCAGGATGAGGGTTTTTGTTGTTTTTCTAGCCAGTGAATGGAAAACAATGCAAATTCACCTGCTTCTCATCATGCTGTTACATGATCCTATCTGACAGACTCGCCTCCTCACCCCTTTGTTTCACTTCGCTTCCCAGGACAACTTTGGTTATGACCTTCCTGCGGTGGAGGCCGCCATGAAGAAGCACGAGGCCATTGAGGCAGACATCTCCTCCTACCAGGAGCGCATCCAGGTGGTGGTGGAGTTGGCCCAAGAGATGGAGTCAGAGAGCTACTATGACAGCAAGCGGATCAATGCGCAGAAAGACAATGTGCTGCGCCAGTGGGGACTCTTGACAGAGCTGGTCAGTGCCCGGCGAGCTCGGCTGGAGCAGAATTTGGCCCTTCAGAAGATCTTCCAGGAGATGGTCTACATGATTGACTGGATGGATGAAATGCAGGTGAGGGCATGGAGGGGAGTATTGGTGATCTACCCTATCCAGATCAAGGAACGCATCCCAACAATAATATACTGCAGGGTTGGTTTTTAAAAAGGGTTTTAAAACGATCATAACTCCTCAATCCCTCACATAGCATGGTCAATGATCATGCTAGCTGTAGGATATTGGCAGTTGAAATCCAATGAGGTAACTTTCCAAAGTGTTGGTCTGGAGCAATGTTGGGACCCCTGGGGGGTGGTGGTGATGGGGGTTCGGAGGGGTCGCCAAAGACCATAAGGAAACATATATTTCTGATGGTCTTGGCAGAGAAAGCTGAAGATCTCTCCCCCTGTCCTTCTCTTCCTTTTTGGAAACAGACGGCGAATGCTCCTACCAAAAGCCCTTCTCTGCTGTGATTGGCCGGCCTTTTAGGTGGCCTCTCAGCCAATGGAAGGACTGTTTCTGAGACTCCAAGTGGGGAGGGGAGAGCAGGCATGGCAGCGTAGTATGCATGCGTTGGCAAGGGAGAGTGTGCGAAGCTGGAGGGAGGCTCTCAGCAACGAGTCCCTTCAAGGCAGGGGAAAAGCACCTGTGGTACTGAGAGTGGCCCAGCAGCATCCATTGTTGTTTGGGTTCACAGGGCTCTACAGATGTAGGTGAACTACATCTCCCCTAAATCACTGTCAATCCCTCCCAAATCCCTCCAGTATTTTCTGTTGATCATGGTGGTTCTGTGTGGGAAGTTTTGCCCAATTCTATCATTGGCGGAGTTCGAAATGCTCTTTCCTAGGTATTCAGATAAGAAAGCAGCAGACAGAAAAATGAGGTAGATACCTTCTTGACAGAAGGCCTAAACTTTTTGGTGGAAGTCCTTTGTGATGCCATTGGTCAAAAACTGTCACTTTCTTTTGTTTATTTTGAACAATTTTGGAATGATTTTTCAAGAGATTTTTATTTGGGAATCTGGGGGACAGGGAAGGAAAATGACACAGAACACATGTTGAATTTTTTTGGGGAGGGGGATCTAGAATGCCCACACTTTGCTTCTCACTTGGTCATGCCACAAGCTGCCTCTGAGAGTTGGGTGACCCTGGAAGGGTTCCTCTTTCTGCCCATTTCCTTCCAGGCCCAGCTGGCATCCAAGGACTTTGGGAAACACCTTCTGGAAGTGGAAGACTTGCTACAGAAGCATAGCCACCTGGAGGCTGACGTCTCTGCACAGAGTGACCGTGTGCAGGCCCTCAATGTCGCAGCCCTCAAATTCTCAGAGTTAGAAGGTAAATGTGAAGAATATGTCATCCTTTCAGCTCCTCTGTTGCGCCAACTCCACTGGCTGCTATCGTGCACAATTCAAAGTACTGGCTTTAGCCTATAATGCCCTAAACGGTTCGTGCCCAGCTTACCTGTCCAAACGTATCTCTCCTCATGAACCATCTAGGAATTTAAAATCATCTGGGAAGGCCCTGCTTTCGATCCCGCCTTCCTCGCAAGCATGCCTGGCGGGGACGAGAGACAGGATCTTCTCAGTGGTGGCCCCTCGGCTGTGGAACTCGCTTCTAGGGATATTAAATCAGCCCCCTCCCTATTGACCTTCAGAAAAAGAGTAAAAATATGGCTTTTTGAACAAGCATTTGGAAATGCAGCAGAACAAATAATTATGAAATTAGAAGAATGAATACGGAATGGCTAAACGATGCTGCTGGATAATGATTTTAACAGGACGACACCACCAAGTTTGGTGGTGATGATATGTTTATTTATTTATTTATTTATTTACAGTATTTATATTCCTTCCCTCTCACCCTGCAGGGGACTCAGGACGGATTACAATGTACATATATATGATAAACATTCAATGCCATAGACACACAACATATATAGACAGACACACAGAGGCTATTTAACTTTCCAGCTTTCATGAGGGTATTCTGGCCACCAGGGGAGCTGTCGCTTCACTGTCCATTTGAGACACTGATGGAGTACTTCCTCATTCTTTGCTTGTTTGCTTGCTGGAGATTTTTATGGCATCGTAAATGAGTTAAATTAGTAGCCTCCCTGCATAAGTGGTGCCTAAATTTTCTACCTGACAGATGCAACTGACTTTTGGGCTGCAAAGGTTGACAGAAAGCTACACAGAATGGTCGGAAGCTCACTGACTTCGAACTCATGATTTTTCGATCAGTAGTGATCTTAATGCAGCTGACTCCCAGCTAGCTGCTCCACAGTTTTTAATGTTTTTTACGGTTTTTATAATATCAGGTTGAATATTTGTAACTGTACTTTTATGAATGTATGGCGTCAAATTCTGCCAATTCTGTAAGCCACCTTGAGTCGCCGTAAGGCTGAGAAAGGCAGACTACAAATGCCGTAAATAAATAAATATGAAGGCTGTCCTGGGGTGTCCTTGCCTCCCCCTTCTGCTTTTCTCCCATTTCTACCCCAACCACCACCACTTTTTTCTCTCTTTCTGTCCAGGCTACCAGCCTTGTGACCCCCAGATCATCTGCAACCGGGTGAACCACGTCCAAAGCTGCCTAGAGCAGCTACAGGAGCTGGCAGCCAAGCGGCGGAAGGAGTTAGAGGCCTCCCGCCAGCTGTGGTCCTTCTTCCAAGAGATGGAAGAGGCAGAAGCCTGGGCGCGGGAGAAGGAGAGCATTCTGTCCTCCTCGCAAGGCTACGGCAAGGACCTGAACAGCGTAGCCAAGCTGCTGAGCAAGCACAGCATCCTTTTGGGTGAGCTGGGTGGGCGGCGCTCCTTGCTACAGACAGCCATGAGGCGAGGGGAACAGATCCTCCTGCGGAAACGCTTTGGCCCCATCAACATCCAGGAGAAGATCCGGGAGGTGCGCCTGCGCTGGAAGAAGCTGGAGGAACTCTCATCATCACACCTCCAGAAGCTGCAAGAGGCCCTGAGCTTTCACCAGTTCAGTGCCGATACTGAAGACCTAGTGGTCTGGCTGCAAGACACCTACCGCCTGGTGTCCAGCGATGACTTTGGCCATGATGAGTACTCCACCCAATCTCTGGTCAAGAAACATAAAGGAGTGGTGGATGAGATTGACAAGCACCGAACAGCTGTCCTGGCCCTGCGCAAGCAACTGGGTGCTCTGGCGCCTGAATACCATGAGTTGGTAGATGTGCAGATCCGTATTGTGGAGGTGGAGCAGTTGTATGGGGAAGTGGTTGAAGTGGCTGTGCTGCGACGCCAGTGGTTGCAAGATGCCCTGGCAGTCTACCACATGTTCAGTGAGGTTAACGCCTGCGAAGTTTGGATTGACGAAAAAGAGCAGTGGCTCAACCGGATGGACGTTCCCCAGAAATTGGAAGATGTTGAGGTGGTGCAGCACCGGTAAGTGGGCTCAGGATTTCTGGGTCCCATTCCAAGGAGGAGGAGATGCTGTCCAGGAGGCCCTTTAGAGCAGGAACTTTAAAGTTTGGGTTGTGTATTTTACATTCTTGTAAATTATAAGCACATAACAGTTTATGAGAACTGTGACAACCAGTGTTTTCTGTGTCAGTGTGATATGAATCTAAGGTAAAGGCTGCTGTTTCCCACTGACATTAAGTCCAGTTGTGTCTGACTCTAGAGGTTGGTGCTCATCTCCATTTTTAAGCTGAAGAGCCAGTGTTGTCCATAGACACCTCCAAAGTCATATGGCCGGCATGACTGCATGGAGCATCATTACCTTCCTGCCGGAGCCATACCTATTGATCTACTCAAATTTGCATGTTTTCGAACTGCTAGGTTGGCAAAAACTGGGGCCAACAGCGGGAGCTCACGCTGCTCCTCGGATTCGAACCTGTGACCTTTCAGTAAGGAAGTTTAGTAGCTCAGAGGTTTAACCCACTGCGCCACAAGGGACTCCTAGATATGAACAGGTTATACTGTAGATTTTAAAAGAATCTATCCATGGTGCTTATCACATTTTGGCATTAGGGTTCAGCACCTTTGAGAGTGCTTTTAAAGCCAATAATAATGTGTGAAATAAAATATATTACACTATGTAACTAAATTAAGTCCCCAGTGACACAGTGGGTTAAAGCTCTGAGCTCCTGAACTTGTTGTCGCAGGTTCAAATCCAGGGAACGGCTTGAGCTTCCACTGTCAGCCCCAGCTTCTGCCAACCTAGCAGTTTGAAAACATGCAAATGTGAGTAGATCAATAGGTAGTGCTCCAGTGGGAAGGTAACGGTGTGTCATGCAGTCATGCCGGGCACATAACCTTTGAGGTGTCTATGGACAATGCCGGCTCTTCGGCTTAGAAATGGAGATGAGCAGCACACCCCAGACTCGGACATGACTGGACTTAATGTCAGGGGACAATCTGTATGTTTACTATGTAATTAAGTGGCACAGTGGGCTGAGCTGCTCAACTTGCTGAGCGAAAGAGCAGAGTTTCGAATCCGGGGAGCGGAGTGAGCTCCCACTGTTAGCCCCAGCTTCTGCCAACCTAGCAGTTCAAAACATGCAAATGTGAGTAGATCAATAGGCACTGCTTTGGTGGGAAGGTAACTACACTCCGTGCAGTCATGCTGGCCACATGACCTTGGAGGTGTCTATGGACAAAGCTAGCTCTTCGGCTTAGAAATAGAGATGAGCACCACCCTCAGAGTCGGACACGACTAGAGTTAATGTCAAAAGGAAACCTTTACCTTTTTATGTAACAAAATTTGAAAATATTTCTGTTCCTAGTTTAAAAGTTTTATTTCCTGTTTAATTGTGCGGTATTCACTTTGAAAGTAGTTATTATGCCAGAAATTTTGTTTTTGTGGCTGCCACAAACTATGTTGAATTGGTTGTCACTCAATGAGATATTCATTGAAAAACTATCACAAAACGTGCTGCAGGATGTTCCACAAAAACCAAATTTTTGCAGTTGAATAAATTGATAGAACCAATTAGGAAATGGAATTTGTAACCCAGGAAGAAAAATCATGTTTCACATAGTGTTATCAGCATATTGGGTTGATAGGGCATTCAGTCTGCAGTTGATGGGGTTATACGATACTAACCATGAAATCCTAGGAACAGAGTTGAGTGTGTGTGCAGACACATGAGTCAGAAAAGGATTTCTCCTACACGAGATAAGGCTGGGATTAACACAGCAAGTTAAACTGCTGTGCTGCAGAAAAAAATCCTTCCGATTGGAAGGTTAGCAATTCAACCCCGGGTCGGGGTGAGCACCCACTGTTAGCCCTAGTTCACCTGCCCATCTAGCAGGTCGAAAGAAGAAATGAAAGTAGATAAAATAGTAAAAGGTAAAGATTATCCCCTGACATTGAGTCCAGTCATGTCCAACTCTGGGGTGTGGTGCTCATGTCCATTTCTAAGCCGAAGAGCCAGCATTGTCCATAGACACCTCCAAGGTCATGTGACTGGCATGACTGTATGGAATGCTGTTACCTTCCCGCTGGAGTAGTACCTACTGATCTACTCACATTTTATATGTTTTGAAACTGCTAGGTTGGCAGAAGCTGGAGCTGACATCGGAAGCTCACACCACTCCCCAGATTTGAACCTGTGACCTTTCGGTCAACAAGCTCTGCAGCTCAGTGGTTTGACCCACTGTGCCACTGGGGCTCCCTGTAGATAAAATAGGTACCACTTTTTGCGAAGAGGTAATTAAAGGCATCCTTAAGGACATAAATTGGAGGAAAGCTCCTTGGCTTGAAAGATAGAGCGACAGCACCACCTGTGGCCGGAGTTGAACACAGCCTCCAAGATGCCGGAAATATGATGGGAAAACTTCCTTTACCTCTGTTTCTGTTGTCCGTCCTTGTTAATTGTATAATCGACACTGAATGTATGTTCTGTAAGCTGCTCTGTGTCCCCTTCGGGGTGAGAGGGCTGGATAGAAATACTGTAAATAAAAATAAATAACTAAATGTTGTTATTGGAGTAAATGTAGTTGGAATGCTAACGTGCCAACATCTGCTTTCTACTCAGGTTTGAAAGTCTGGACCAAGAGATGAACAGCCTAATGGGTCGGATTTTAGATGTCAACCAGATTGTGCAGCAGTTGGTCGATGGGGGCCACCCAAGTTCTTCTGAAGTCCGGTCCTGCCAGGACCACCTGAACAGCAGGTATGGAGGGTCTGTCTAAAATCCCTTTTGATGTCTGTATTGAAGGAAGAAGGGGGTGCATTTGACCCAATGCAGGAAGTCTTTGCTTGTGCTGCTGAGCACCCCTTCAAATCAATGAGGGTCTCCTGTGGTATTATAAACAGCAAGGTGCAGGGAATAGTAACATGGGCCTCCATAGTCCCCAAGGGTCATTGCCATTTCTTGCCCCAGTGTCCCCTCTAGGAGCTTTGGGCAAATTTCATCACTTTTCTGGGATCCTCTGGCCCCACAGATCTTATCTTTTAGATTCTCACTGTGGAGCTGCTGTCCTCCAAGGGTTTCTGGTGGGCTTTTTGTGCTGGTGTCTGCTGCATTTTATATTTTACTAGCTGTCCCCTGCCACATGTTGCTGTGGCCCAGTCTGGTGATCTGGAAAATAAAGTAATTAGAAAGTGTTGGTATCTAATATATGTAATTTATTTATGCTTGTGGGTAAAGAGTATTTCTTGTTGTTTCTTTGTCAATGTTGATGTAGAAATTGTCTGGTTTGCCCACTCAGGAACATGGAACATATAATTGTCCTTCTTTAGGGGTCCCTTTCAAATCTATGATACTATATCTGTGTGTGTGAACCATATCTATCTATCTCTATGGCTGGATGGCTCTTTGTCAGAAGGGCTTTGGTTACATTTTCTTGCCCTGGTGAAGGGAGTTGACCTGGATGGCCTTAAGTATGGGGGTTCTGTGTGGGAAGTTTGTCCCAGTTCTGTCGTTGGTGGGGTTCAGCATGCTCTTTGATTGTAGGCGAGCTATAAATCTCAGTAACTACAACTCCCAATGTCAAGGTCTATTTCCCCCAAACTCTACCTGTGTTCATATTTGGGCATATGGAATATTTGTGCCAAGTTTGGTGCAGATCCATCTTAATTTGAGTCCACAGTGCTCTCTGGATTTAGGTGAACTACAACTCCCAAATTCAAGGTCAATGCCCACCAAACCCTTGTAGTGTTTTCTTTTGGTCATGGGAGTTCTGTGTGCCATGTTTGGTTCAATTACGTCATTGGTGGAGTTCAGAATGCTCCTTGATTGTAAGTAAACTATAAATCCCAGCAACTACAACTCCCAAATGACAATATCAATTTTTTTGAGTGATGGTCACTCCGAGGGGTAATAGGTGTCTTGTGGCCAAATTTGGCGGCAATTTGTCCAGTGGTTTTTGAGTTATGTTAATCCCACAAACGATCATTACATTTTTATTTATATAGATGTATTGCATATGCATTCATTAGTCCTACTGATTAAAATCAGTAGGACTGGAAATGAAAAAAAAAAACCAAAATGGTTGCAAAACGAGCAGTGTGCTCAGGGCTGTCGTTATAAATGGAGATAAAATTGAAGAAGTGACTGAATATGTATATCTTGGACAAAAAGAACAGATGAATCAATTGGTCAATGGAGAATGGGCAAGAAGATGGAAGGCGCCTTGGATGGCTTTTAATCATAACTGGACAGTGCTAATAGATGCTAAGCAGCCAGTGAAGGTCAGAGCAGATATCTTCAACACCACAGTTCTAACGGCACTGTTATACACATCTGAAACATGGGCAACAACTAAGTTAGAAGAGGAAAAAATGGCGGTGACTCAGAGAGCAATGGAACAAAGGATGTGTGGCATGACAATAAGAGATAAAGTCAACGAACCAGTGTACGCAACGTGGTCAATGAGATCTATGAGGCAAAAAGAAGATGGGCAGGGCATATAGTATGAACAAAAGAGAAATGATGGACATGGCGACTAATGAACTGGATACCAAGAGACCACAAGCGGCTCTTGGGCAGATCTCGTACTTGGTGGGACAAACCAATAGTTAAGCTATTCAGCTAGAATCTTAGAATCATAGGGTTGGAAGAGACCTCATCCAGTCCAAGCCACTACCAAGAAGCAGGAAAATCGCATTCAAAACACCCCTGACAGATGGCCATCCAGCCTCTGTTTAAAAGCTTCCAAAGAAGGAGCCTCCACACACTCCAGGGCAGAGAGTTCCACTGCTGAACAGCTATCACAGTCAGGAAGTTCTTCCTAATGTTCAGATAGTATCTCCTTTCTTGTAGTTTGAAGCCATTGTTCAATTGTGTCCTATTCTCCAGGGCAGCAAAAAACAAGCTTGTTCCCTCCTCCCTATGACTTCCTCTCACATATTTATACAATTGGAAAAGAAAAGCATGGCCATAGGTTTTTAAATCCTTGTGTGTTTTGTCTATGTGTGAGTTATATTAATTGTATTGTTTATTTTGCTTATTGCCTGTTGTTTTTATTGATGGGTTGTTGGGCTTGGCCTCATGTAAGCTGCTCTGAGTCCCTTGGGGAGATGGTGGCAGAGGGTAAATAAAGTTTTATTATTATTATCATCATCATCATCATCATCATCATCATCATCATATATTTTATCAAATGGTAGATTTGTGTGAAGCCCAAAGGAGTGGATTGATGACAAATAGAATAGAATAGAACTAGAATAGAACTGGTCTATGATATTGGATTATGTAATTTTAGTAATTTTAATGTTGATATGTTTTTAGTGGATGTTTTCATGCTTATGTTTTTTATTTACTGGATATGTATTGTATGTAATGCATGGCATCGAATTGTACCTGTGTGTGTGCTGCTCTAAGTCCCCTTCAGGGTTGAGAAGGGCAGGATATAAATATGGTAAACAACAACAACAACAATAATAGTAATCCCAGGATTATAGCAGGATTGAAGAGAAACAACTGGAAAAGCTGACACAATATGAGGATTTAAAGTTCAAATTGCAAAGACTCTGGCACAGCCAGTAAAGTGGTCCCAGTGGTGATTGGCACACTGGGTGCAGTGCCTAAAAACCTTGGCCTGCACTTAAGCACAATCGGCACTGACAAGATTACCACCTGCCAGCTGCAAAAGGCCACCCTACTTAGAACTACATTGATTATTCACCAATACATCACACAGTCCTAGACACTTGGGAAGTGTCCGACGTGTGACCCAACACAACAGCCAGCATAGTGATCTTGTTTGCTATGTACTAATCTTGTTGTGTTTCTAATAATAATAATAATAATAATAATAATAATAATAATAATAATGGAAAATGTTGATGTCACCACTTGTGGAGGAGTTCATACACATGCATATACATGCAATCAGGGAGCCCTCTTTTTGGCCTTCACCCCAGCATCATGGTACCAAATTGACCATTTGGGATCCTTGGGAAACCATTTCTCTGGCTCACTTTTTTTCTGAGTAGCCATGAGATACCTCTGCCTCTGGCCAGGAAGGGATGGCACCCTGTTTGTGAGGAAGATGCTAAACATACTGGCTGTGAACAACCGCAGGCTCTTTCCCACCATGTCTGCCATTACTTTCTTTTGGGGAGCTGAGATTGAAGTGAAACCAATGCCCAAGGTTGAGAAGTGCAGAACCCAAACTCTGCATTTCTCAACCTAGGGCAACTGAATGCTACCTGGAACAAAAGTCCTTGGAAGTGTCAAGGTGGCAAAAATGCTCAACTATGATGGTATGTGCAGGATTTCCTGCTCTAGTTACCCCGAGGCAGGTCCAGCTTACCAGGAATGAGAGGCTGTTGGTGAACTTGACTTGACATTGTTTTGATGCATCTTCCCTTGGTTTCCTAGGTGGAACCGGGTGGTCGAGCTGGTGGAGCACAAGAAGGACCATCTCAACTCCATCCTAAAGATCCAGAACTACCTACTGGAATGCAATGAGATCAAGTCCCAGATCCGGGAGAAGCGCAAGGCTGTTGAGTCTACTCAGTACAACACCGGTGACTTGGGCAGCGTCCTCTCCCTCCAGAGACGCCTCTCCACCATGGAAGCTGCCCTGGTGGTCCTGGAGCCCCGGCTGATTGAGCTGCAACAGGAAGGAGAGCTGCTGGCAAACACACACCCGGCTCAGGCGATGGAGATCTTGATGCAGTTTGAGGAAATCAGTGAGGAATGGGACGCATTGAAGAGGACTCTGCAGGGCTGTGAGGACTCACTCACGGTAGCCAGCAGGTCAGGAGCAAGGGATGATCTGTTGCTCTCAAAAGCACCTGGACACAGGGATAGCGGGTCTAGTGCAGCATTTCTCAACCTGGGGGTCAAGACCCATGGGGGGGGGGTTGTGAAGGGGTGTCAGAGGGGTTGCCAAAGACCATTCAAAAATAGTATTTTATGTTGGTCATGGGGGTTCTGTATGAGAAGTTTGGCCCAATACTATCATTGGTGGGGTTCAGAATGCTCTTTGATTGTAGGTGAACTATAAATCCCAGTAGCTACCACTCCCAAATGTCAAGGTCTATTTTCCCCAAACTCCACCAGTGTTCACATTTGGGCATATTAAGTATTTGTGCACAGTTTGGTCCAGCTCCATCATTGTTTGAGTCCACAGGGTTCTCTGGATGTAGGTGAACTACAACTCCAAAACTCAAGGTCAATGCTCACTAAACCCTTCCAGTATTTTCTGTTGGTCATGGGAGTTCTGTGTGCCAACTTTGGTTCAATTCCATCGTTGGTGGAGTTCAGAATGCTCTTTGATTGTAGATTAATTATAAATCGCAGCAACTCCAACTCCCAAAAGACAAAATCAACCCCCCCCCCCCCCCCCCCACAACTCCACCAGTATTGGGCGTATTGGCTATTTGTGCCAAATTTGGTCCACTGAATAAAAATACATCTTGCATATCAGATATTTACATTATGATTCATAACAGTAGCAAAATAACAGTTATGAAGTAGCAACAAAATAATGTTATGGTTGGGGGTCACCACAGCAGAAGGAACTGTATTAAGGGGTCGCAGTATTAGGAAGGTTGGGAACCACTGGTCTAGTGTATGGCAGGGGAAGGTGTGTGTTTAGTTAGCTACACATGGCCCTGCATTTATTCAATGCTAGCCATCCCCTGCCACACGTTGCTGTGGCCTAGTCTGTGTATATGTGTTTTGTGTGTATATATATTTGTGTATATGTATATATATGTGTGCATTTGCGTGTATATATGTGGTTTTGCATATGTGTTGTAATGTATTTTTTTAATTTTTGGCTTTTAAGTCTCTTCTGCTGTGTTTTTCAGTGTTTTTATGAGTGGATGGTCACTCAATGGCTTGAAAGATGTATTGTGTCCAAATTTGGTGTCAATTCATCCAGTGGTTTTTGAGTTATGTTAATCCCACAAACAAACATTACACTTTTATTTATATAGATGGTTAATTCCATATTTTATATAGATTTAATTAATGTATTTTCTATTTTATTTTTTATGTTAAATTGCATTCATTCTATAGTGTAGATGACCCACCAGGCATGTAGCCGGGGGGGGGGGGGGGGCTTGAGGGGCTTCAGCCCCCCCCCCCCCCCCGAAATTCTCATGGTGGTTCGTGAAAAGGCCTTACTGGTGCATTATTTAAACTGTTATGTTTATTAATATCATGATCTGATCACCATACTCAATATATCCCATACGCATGGGGATATTGGGGTAACGATACAAAAGGTTTGCTAGGGTAGACCCTCTTTCACTCAGACTCAGCCCCCCCCCGCAAACAAACTCAGCCCCCCCCCCCCCCCGAATCAAAATCCTGGCTATGGGCCTGCTCCTGACGTTTTGCCTCCATCTATGGCAAGCATCCTCACTACCTCTGAGGTTGCTTGCCATAGATGCAGGCGAAATGTCAGGAGAGAATGCCTCTAGAACATGGCCATATAGCCCGAAAAAACCTACAACAACTCATTAAATTTTTATTTATTTAGATTTTGGTAACACTGATGCTCCAAGGGCAGAGCAGCAAATCCTTAGACTTCCCACATCCTTTTCTGGGTTGTGTTTTTATAATCTCACAGTGCTAAACAAATGGTGGCAAAATAAAGTGGTTTTTCTTATGACCCCCTCTAAATGGCCAAAAAAAATCCAGAAAAGGAAACTAGAAGCAACATCATGTCACCTCCAGCAGTGGTTTGATATCAATTTAACTATCATGTCTTCGTCCTATGGATTTGTAATTTAGTGTGATTTTGTGAACTACAACACAAGAAGTCTTTGGCAAAGAAAGTATCCCATGAACAGTTAAATCCCAGGAATCCATAAGTCCAACTTCTGGTAGTAATGTCTCACCTTTCTGCCCCGTGTTCCTTCTCCTTCCAGGTTGCAGCAGTTCATCCAAGATCTAGACAGCTTTCTCACCTGGCTGGTGAAAACACAGGCAGCCGTGGCCTCGGACGAGCTGCCAGGGAACCTTTCTGAGGCCGAGAAGCTGCTGAACCACCACGCCTCGCTTAAGGAGGAGATCAACCGCTACGAAGAGGACTACACGAAGATCCAGGCAGTCAATGATGTGCTAGCCCTGGAGGAAGCTGACCTCCCTTACCTCTCGCTCCAGCAGTGGTTGCAGAAGCTTGATGTGGGCTGGAACAAGCTTCTGGAGATGTGGGAGAACCGGCGAGAAGTCTTGGTCCAGGCTCATATCTTCTTCCTCTTCCTACGAGATGCCAAGCAGGCTGAGGCTTGCCTGTACAACCAGGTAATAAAAGCTGCCCCTCGAATGGTTGAAGTTTGGTTCTTGCTATTAGCCAGTAGACAGGCAGTTGCTAGTTGGAAGCCACAATCATGATACAATGTACCAGCAAAAAATGTACCAGATTCATTCAAAGGAGGTTCATCATTGCCTGTCTTTAAAGCTGAGAGAGTTTGACTTGCCCAAGGTCACCTACTGGGTTTCCATGACCAATCAGTGATTCAAACTCTTGTTTCCTAGAGCCTGTAAGTGCATCTACACTGTATTGCAGAAGGCTTTCATGGCTGGAATCACTGGGTTGTTGTAGGTTTTTCGGGCTATATGGCCATGTTCTAGAAGCATTCTCTCCTGACGTTTCACCTACATCTATAGCAAGCATCCCAGAGGTTGTGAGGTCCTCACAACCGATGCTTGCTATAGATGCAGGCAAAACATCAGTAGAGAATGCTTCTAGAACATGGCCATATAGCCCAAAAAACCTACAATAACCCTGCATCTACACTGTCAAATTGATGCAGTTTGGCACCACTTTAACTGTCGTGGCTCAGTGCTATAGAATCCCCGGAGTTGTAGTTTGGTGATCTTGTAAAACAACAGCTCCCATGATTCTATAGCATTGAGCCATATCAGTTAAGGTAAAAGTAAAGGTATTTTATTTATCATGTCATCAGCAACCAGACATTTGTATTACATTTTTAACAAAAACAAACAAACAAGCAGACAAAACACAGAATTTGCTAGCTTGGTAGTTGATTAAATGTCCTTTGACCAGTATCTGGCCACTTGGAGTGCCTCTGGTGTTGCCGCAAGAAGGTCCTCCATTGTGCATGTGGCAGGGCTCAGGGTGCATTGCAGCAGGTGGTCAGTGGTTTGTTCTTCTCCGCACTCGCATGCCGAGGATTCCACCCTGTAGCCCCATTTCTTAAGATTGGCTCTGCATCTCGTGGTGCCAGAGCGCAATCTGTTCAGCGCCTTCCAAGTCGCCCAGTCTTCTGAGTGCCCAGGGGGAGTCTCTCATCTGGTATCACCCATGAATTGAGGTGCTGGGTTTGGGCCTGCCACTTTTGGACTCTCGCTTGCTGGGGTGTTCCAGCGAGTGTCTCTGTAGATCTAAGAAAACTATGTCTTGATTTAAGTCGTTGACGTGCTGGCTGTTACCCAAACAAGGGATGGGCTAGAGATGTCTCTGCCTTGGTCCTTTCACTATTGGCTGCTACTTCCTAGCAGATGTCAGGTGGTGCAATACCAGCTAGACAGTGTAATTTCTTCAGTGGTGTAGGGCGCAGACACCCTGTGATAATGCGGCATGTCTCATTAAAAGTAAAGGTTTCCCCTTGACATTCAGTCCAGTCATGTCTGACTCTGTGGGTTGGTGTTCATCTCAATTTCTAAATCAAAGAGTCAGTATTGTCCATAGACGCCTCCAAGGTCATGTGGCCAGCATGACTGCATGGAGTGCCATTACCTTCCCGCTGGAGTGGTACCTATTGATCTACTCACATTTGCATGTTTTCGAACTGCTAGGTTGGCAGAAGCTGGGGCTAACAGCGGGCGCTCACCCCACTCCTTGATTTGAACTGCCGACCTATTGGTCAGCAAGTTCAGCAGCTCAGCGGTTTAACCCACTTCACCACTGAGAGCTCCGTTAGCAATTAAAATTGTGTTGAATTTCATTAATTCAACAGTGTGGATGCATGCTTGGTTGAGCATTGAAACCGCCACACTGACTACACCGAGATGAATAGCCACTGAAGCTTGAATGTGTGATGTTTGTTTTCCTCTCCAGAAAGCCCCCAGCCAGAATAATGATGTTGTTTGCCACAGGATGCTTTGTTCTCCAGAGAAAGGATGCAGTGACCCTTGCAGCGCTTGCTTATTGTTGCTTCTTCACTGAGCTTTATTGATGGGTAGCAGCTGATCATCAACAGGCAATCCCTGGCTTGATGCTAATCTGCAGCTGGTTAACAGTGACTAATAACAACTTATTAGCAATAGGAAATGGCTTGTGTGTGTCTAAGGAAAAGGAATATGCACATATGAGGGTGCCAACTATCTCAAACTATCCCAATATATCCTGCCTCTGTTCCGCTTCCATTTTGGAGGAACACATTTCTCTATTTTCTTGACAAAATAAAGGACTGACTCAGTATGGAATGAAGAAGTCCATAAAGACTGCACTATAAAGAAGATTCCATCTGAACATGAGGAAGAACTTCCTGACTGTGAGAGCCATTCAGCAGTGGAACTCTCTGCCCCGGAGTGTGGTGGAGGCTAATTCTTTGGAAGCTTTTAAACAGAGGCTGGATGGCCATCTGTCAGGGGTACTTTGAATGCAATATTCCTGCTTCTTGACAGGGGGTCGGACTGGATGGCCCATGAGGTCTCTTCCAACTTTATGATTCTATTCTGGTTTAGTTTTCAATGGTCTGGTGAAAGCATTGGAATATGATTCTGGAGACCAAGTTTTAAATCACTTGGTAAATAAAGAGCAACACTAAAAAACAGGTGAATTCCAGAGAAAAATAAATCAGGGCCAGCTAACACCTCTCTCAATCAGCCAGGCTTTGAAGCAGCAAGGCCATTAAATGATAATCAAGGTGGCCAATTGCAATATTCACATTTGCTTTAAACAGACAAGGATCCTGGGTTGCTGTGAGTTTTACAGATGTATGGCCATGTTCCGGAAGCATTCTCTCCTGACGTTTCGCCCATATCTATGGCAAGCATCATCAGAGGTTGTGAGGTCTGTTGGAAACTAGGCCAGTGAGGTTTATATATCTGTGGATTGTCCAGGGTGGAAGAAAGAACTCTTGTCTGATTAAGGCAAGTGTGAATGTTGCAATGGGCCAACTTGATTAGTATTGAATAGGTAATCTTTGAAGCTGCACCCTGGACATTTTATTTATTTATTTATTTATTTGCAGTATTTATATTCCGTCCTTCTCACCCCACAGGGGACTCATGGCAGATTACAATGTACATATACATGACAAACATTCAATGCCAGAGACACAACATATATAGACACTGACAGATATACAGAGGCTATTTAACATTCCAGCTTTTTTCATGAGAGTATTCTGGCCACCAGGGGAGCTGTCGCTTCACCATTTGTGACATTGATGAAGTACTTCCTCATTCTTTGCATACTTGCTGGAGGTTTTTATGGCTAGTAAATTAGCCTCCCCGGATAAGCGGTACCTACATTTCCTACTTGGCAGATTCAACTGTCTTTCAGGCTGCAAAGGTCGACAGCAAGCTACACAGCAAGCTACGCAAGCTACACAAATTGGTTGGAAGCTCACCCTGACCCAGGCTGGCTTCAAACTCATGGACTGTGGCCCAGCCAGCTTCGCCACAGTCCTGTTGCTATATATTCTACAGCAGTGGTTCTCAACCTGGGGTCCCCAGATGCTTTTGGCCTTCAACTCCCAGAAATCCTAACAGCTGGTAAACTGGCAGGGATTTCTGGGAGTTGTAGGCCAAAAACATCTGGGGACCCCAGGTTGAGAACCACTTTTCTACAGATATATAAACCTCACACGCCCAGGGTTGATGTAGGTTTTTTCAGGCTGTATGGCAATGGTCTAGAGGCATTCTCTCCTGACGTTTCGCCTGCATCTATGGCAAGCATCCTCAGAGGTAGTGAGGTCTGTTGGAACTAGGAAAATTGGTTTATATATCTGTGGAAAGACCAGGGTGGGACAAAGGACTCTTGTCTGCTGGAGCTAGATGTGAATGTTTCAACTGACCACCTTGATTAGCATTTGATAGCCTCGCAGTGCCTGGAGCAATCTTTTGTTGAGGGGTGATTAGATGTCCCTGATTGTTTTCCCTCTGCTGTTTTGCTGTTTTAATTTTAGAGTTTTTTTAATATTGGTAGCCAGATTTTGTTCATCTTCATGGTTTCCATAGATATATAAACCCATTTTACTAGTTCCAACAGACCTCACTACCTCTGAGGATGCAGGCAAAACGTCAGGAGAGAATGCCTCTAGAACATGGCCACATAGCCCAAAAAAACGTACAACAACCCAGTGATTCCAGCCATGAAAGCCTTCGACAATACACTCACTTGCCCAGTTTCCAACAAACCTCACAACCTCAGAGGATGGCTGCCATAGATGTGGGCAAAACATCAGGAGAGAATGCTTCTGGAACATGACCATACAGCCAAGAAAACTCACAGCAACCCAGTTTTAAATCACTGTATGGCAATGCAAAGCTACTGGGTGGCCTTAGACAATTTACACTCCCTCAGCCTCAGAGAATGGCAAATGAGCAAATCTTGTAAGAAAACCCATGATAGATTCATTTTAGGATTGACATAAGTCAGAAATTATTTGCAGCAGGTGCACAACAACTCGGTTGGATTGTGACTCATGGTTACTAAAAAAGGCCGCTATTATACCTCACACAGGTAGAGATCAAGTAAGTGCTTTAGAAATTGCATGGCTTATGCAAAATAATAATTGTTGCTTAGCATTTTTGTAGAAGCAGGGAGGTATTTGCCTCATTCGGTTGCCAGAAGCAATACTACATTAAATGTGCAGCTATTTAAAAAGCTCCCCAAATTGCCTTTTAAGCATTGTGATAGTGTTGGGGATGAAGAAGAAAAAAATAAGGGTTATTTTCCTATTCTGCAGCAAAGCAAGCAAGCAAAAGTAATCGATCAGCGACTGGGCAGAGTCCTCAAATATAATGCAAAGAAGCCTCTCCGTATTTTGTTTTCTTTTTTCGTTGTGCTGTTCAGAATGGGTCGTGCAGTGTCTCGTTTTGCCTGGCGATGGCTCTGCAGTGGAGGCGGTGTTTGTGTGTGTTCGGGTTTACTTTCCAGGTTGATCCCTGTCAACACACACATGCACACACCGTACCCTTGGAGTTTCTGCCTCTTGGCCCTTTGTGGCTTCACAAAGCAGAGCTAAAGTGCCAATCATTCCGCCTTAGCAGATGTCAAAGGGTTTCGGGAGAGTGTGCGCAACTCCAGCGCTTGGCTGCACATGGAATCATGCCCCATTTAATCGGCCTGGTTAGCGCTTTGCAGCTGGGGCTTAAACCGAGCCAGCGCTGAAAGCTACGCATGAGTCCAGGGAGATGGGAAATAATAGCAGAGAAGTAGAGAGCCTCTCAGTACCTTTGGGCACCTAGCAAGTAACAGCAGCCTGTCCATCCCAAGAGATCTGGGACTTAGGAACGGGAACTCCGCCTTCCGCTACACATAACATACATACCACCATCTGGCTTTAGCCCAGATACCTTATGATGAACCGTGCTGCCTGTTTTATCATTAGCTGCATGGCTGTGCTATTCTGACACGGCATTATTGAGTCTCTGTTCTTTGAGCCTGTAGCATCGGCTGGATCTACGCTACTGTTTCTCAACCTTCCTAATGCCGCAACCCCTTAATACAGTTCCTTATGTTGGTGGTGGCCCCCAACCATTAAATTATTGGGTTGTTGTAGGTTTTTTCAGGCTAAATAGCCATGGCCTAGAGGCATTCTCTCCTGACGTTTCGCCTGCATCTATGGCAAGCATCCTCAGAGGTAGTGAGGTCTGTTGGAACTAGGAAAATGGGTTTATATATCTGTGGAATGACCCCGGTGGGACAAAGGACTCTTGTCTGCTGGAGCTAGGTGTGAATGTTTCAACTGACCACCTTGATTAGCATATAATGGCCTGACAGTGCCTGGAGCAAACTTCTGTTGAGAGGTTATTTGTTTGTTTCCTCTCTGTTGTTGTGCTGTTGTAATTTTAGAGTTTTTAAACATTAAATTTAATTATTTTTAATTTAATATTAAAAACATTAAATTATTTTCCTTGCTATTTCATAACTGTAATTTTGCTACTGTTATGAATCGTAATGTAGATATCTGATATGCCATATGTATTTTCATTCACTAGACCAAATTTGGCACAAATACCCAATACATCCAAATTTGAATACTGGTAGGTTTGGGGGGATTGATTTTACCATTTGGGAGTTGTAGTTGCTGGGATTTATAGTTCACCTACAATCAAAGAGCATTCTGAACTTCACCAATGATAGAATTGAACCAAACTTGGCACACAGCACCATCAGAAAATACTAGCAGGATCTCTGGGGATTGACCTTAAGTTTTGGAGTTGTAGTTCACCTATATCTAGAGAGCACTGTGGACTTAAACAATGATGGATCTAGACCAAACTTGACATGAATACTCAGCATACCCAAATGTGAACACCGGTCGAGTTTAGGGAAAATAGACCTTGAGATTTTGGGAGTTGTAGTTGCTGGGATTTATAGTTCACCTACAATCAAAGAACATTCAGAACCCCACCAATGATGGAATTGAACCAAACTTGGCACACAGAACTCCCATGACTAACAGAAAATACCAGCAGGATCTGGTGGGCATTGACCTCGAGTTTTGGAGTTGTAGTTCACCTACATCCAGAGAGTACTGTGGACTCAAACAAAGATGGATCTGGACCAAACTTGGCACGAATACCCAAATGCCCAAATGTGAACACCGGTCAGGTTTGGGGAAAATAGACCTTGATATTTGGGAGCTGTAGTTGCTGGGATTTATAGTTCACCTACAATCAAAGAACATTCTGAACCCCACCAATGACAGGGAACCCTGGACTACATAGGATGCATCTACACCAGGCATGGGCAAACTTGGGTCTTCCAGGTGTTTTGGACTTCAACTCCGACAATTCCTAACAGGCTCAGACCCCTTCCTTTTCCCACTCAGCCGCTTAAGGGCCTGAGGGGGAAAGGAAGAGGCCTGAGGCTGTTAGCAATTGTGGGAGTTGAAGTCCAAAGCACATAGAAGACCCAAGTTCATCCATGCCTGACCTGCACTATTGAATGAAGACATCTTGACACTCATTTAACTGCAACATGAGAAACTGCAATGTCCCAATGCTGTAGAATCTTGAGAGCAGTAGTTTAGTGAGCCATCACCACTCACTGGCAGAGAAGGCTAAGGACTTTGTAAAACTACAACTCCCGGGTTTCCATAGCATTAAGCCGTGGCAGTGAAAATGATGTCAAACTGGATTAATTCTACAATGTAGATACTTTTGCTGGCTCTCACAAAACATTTCCTTCTGTTTTCACAACACCAGCAGTCAACTCTTTTTGGAACTGTCTTTCAGGAAACCACATTGGCACATGCCAAGGTGCCCACAACGGTGGAAGCGGCGGAGAAGGCCATCAAAAAGCACAGGGACTTCATGACAACCATGGAGCTCAACTTGCAGAAGACCACGACGGCCCTAAACGCTGGCAAGAGCCTGATCCGACAGGGTAACATCTACAGCGAGCAGGTGAAGGAGAAGATGGAAGCCCTACAGGCAAAGTAAGGACACTGAGCCTTCCTTTCAGGCACCGAGATCCAAAATTGGTCGCAAAAGAGCATAGTAGGCAATGCCTTCCATTACATATCATCATGGGCCATACTTTCACCCATTAAGGGTTATCTATTCAGCATTTATTTATTTATTTATTTGCTGTATTTGTATACCGCCCTTCTCAGCCCTCAGGCAACTCAGGGCATTAGAGATTTCCATAAACCTGGAACAATCTGTGGTCATGTCATTGAATTGCATGGCGCATTAAATATAGTCCCTAGTTCAGCCTTTCTCAATCTGGGGTCAGGACCCTTGGGGGGGCGTTGCGAGGGGGTTTCAGAGCGATCAACAAAGACCATCAGTAACATATATTTCTGATGGTCTTAGGCACCCCTTTGGCAGAGAAGGCTGAAGATCTCCCCGCCTGTCATTCTCTTCCTTCCAGATGGTGAATCTTCCCACCAGAAGCCCTCCTCTGCTGAGATTGGCCAACCTGTCAGAAGTCCTCTCAACCAAGGGGAGGGCTTTTTCCCCAAGCAGGGGAGGGGAGAGGAGACATGCTTGGCACATGGCAGCGTGGTGCGCATGTGCGGATAAGGGAGAGCGTGCGAGGCGGGAGGGAGGCTCATGTCAGCGAGTCCCTTCAAGGTTGGGGGGTTCTGTGTGTGAAGTTTGACCAAATTCTATCATTAGTGGGGTTCAGAATGTTCTTTGATTGTAGGTGAACTATAAATCCCAGTAACTACAACTCCCAAATGTCAAGGTCTATTTTCCCCAAACTCCACCAGTGTTCACATTTGGGCATATTGAATATTCGTACCAAGCTTGGTCCAGATCTATCATTGTTTGAGTCCACTTAACAGTTCTCTCTGGATGTAGGTGAACTACAACTCCAAACCTCAAGGTCAATGCCCACCAATAATAATAATAATAATCATAATCATCATCATCTTTATTTGTACCCCGCCACCATCTCGCCGAAGGGGACTCGGGGCGGCTAATATGAGGCCAAGCTCAAAGATACAATACAGCACAATAAAATACAAAATGCAGGCAACAAAATTTCATCAGAATAAAATACATAAAATACATAAAGTAGCAAAATAAAATAAACAAAGGAGATTGACATATATAAAATCAAACTCAATGGGCAAGTGAAATGAATAAGGTAAAATGATAAAACCCTGGTTGAGGTAGGAATAGAAAAGGTGTAATTGAGAGGAGCCCAAAGAGGATGAACAGTGGGGTTAAACTTTCAGTTTCGGATGGGGAAAAGTGCATCACCAAACCCTTCCATTATTTTATCTTGGTCATGGGAGTTCTGTGTACCAAATTTGATTCAGTTCAATCGTTGGTAGAGTTCAGAACGCTCTCTGGTTGTAGGTTAACTATAAATCCCAGCAACTACAACACCCCAACCCCACCAGTATTCACATTTGGGCATATTGGGTATTTGTGCCAAATTTGATCCAGAGAATGAAAATACATCCTGCATATCAGATATTTACATTACAATTCACAACTGTAGCAAACTTACAGTTATAAAGTAGCAATGAAAATAATATTATAGTTGGGGGTCACCACAACATGAGGAACTGTATTAAGGGGTCGCGGCATTAGGAAAATTGGGAACCACTGCCCTAGTTGCTCATAGCTTGGTAACTCACACACAGGTAATACTGTATATTTGGAATTTAAGACAGAAATCCTAGCTAAAGGAACTGTTCTCAGATCAAGAAGAAATGAGGAGATTTGTGGGGAATTGGGGCATGGGTTTAGGGGTCTTTAAATCTAGTTTACGTATCTCTAGTCAAAGGGTGTAGAGTAGAGTGGAGGGTGAGCCATAGCTCTACGACCATGAGAAGGAAGAACAAAGCAAAGGAATGAAGCTGGGTTGGATTTAGGGAAGTTATGGCAGTAGGTTTCATGTAGTTTTACAAGGTCTTTAGCCTTCTCTGCCAAAGTGTGTGAGTGCCTCCTGAAATTATAACTTTTGGGATTCCCATAGCATTGCTCCATGGCAGTTCAAGTTGTATCAAACTGCACTAATTCTGCTGTGTACATTCACCTCCCCAGCATCCATTATTGAATTCCTGGATGCAGGCCCGTAGATTGGGGGGGGGGGGGCTCGAGGGGCTTCAGCCCCTCCACCCAAATCCTAAGGTGGTCCACGAGAAGGCCTTACTGGTACATTATTTAAACTGTTATGTTTATTCATATCATGATCTGATCACCATGCTCAATATATCCCATATGCATGGGGTTTTGGAATAATGATAGAAAAGGTTTGCTAGGGTAGATCCTGAGCCCCCCCCCCCGAGCCACACTCAGCCCCCCGAACCAAACCCATCCCCCCCAAGCCAAACTCAGCCCCCCGAACCAAACTCAGCACCCCCCCAACCCAAACTCAGCCCCCTGTTCTTAAGGTGGTCCACGAGAAGGCCTTACTGGTACATTATTTAAACTGTTATGTTTATTCATATCATGATCTGATCACCATGCTCAATATATCCCATATGCATGGGGTTTTGGGGTAATGATATAAAAGGTTTGCTAGGGTAGATCCTGAGCCCCCTCCCCCGAGCCACACTCAGCCCCCCGAACCAAACCCATCCCCCCCAAGCCAAACTCAGCCCCCCGAACCAAACTCAGCACCCCCGAGCCAAACACAGCCCCCCTGAACCAAATTCAGCCCCCTGAACCAAACTCAGCCCCCCCAAACTAAACTCAGCCCCCCCAAACCAAACTGAGCCCTCCAACCAAACTCAGCCCCCAAACCAAATTCAGCCCCCCCAAACCAAACTCAGCCCTCCTGAACCAAGCTCATCCCCCCAAACCAAACCCCCCCCAACCCGAATCAAACTCAGCCCCCCCCCGAACCAAACTCAGCTCCCTGAATCAAACTCAGTCCCCACGTATCAAACTCACCCCCCAACCCCCAAATCAAAATCCTGGCTATGGGCCTGCCTGGATGGTTTATTCCACCCATCCAATTCATCTTTCAGTTCCGGAAGAACTGAGTCTGAAAGTCCATCGACCGCTTCCATTTTATTTCTGTGTTTCTGATATAAAAAAGGGGCGAAGCAAAAATGCAGTCACAAACAGCTGTCAAATGATTATAATGACTGAATCCTGGATATTTTTTCTCTTGTCTTCTCTTGTGAGCAGCTGTGTCCTTTTCCCTTCACTCTGGCAGCTATCGCTTGTTGGAAAATCACTCTTAGGAATAGGATTAAGGAGCAAGACTTTTCTTGAACTGCGCAAATGAAATGCTTCCATCTAAAAATATCGTAGCATATAGGAAGTCAACATGGCAGAAGAGATTTCCAGCTTTGCCATCTGCCCGATATCTAATAGCTCTGTGAGGAGGGATATATGTTCACATGGAAACATTCTTCATCACAATCTGAACATATAAATTAATTAGTGGATTACAGAGTTAGTCAGTTTTATTTTATTTATTGTGTCAGAAACCATTTGGGTTCAGTTATAATTTATTTAAAAACACAAACAAAGTTTTTAAAACTTGGCATTATGCGAAATGTCCTTTGACCAGAAGCTGGTCACTTGGAGTGCCTTTGGTGTCACTGTGAGAAGGTCCTCCATTGTACATGTGGCAGGGCTCAGGTTGCATTGTAGTAGGTAGTCTGTAGTTTACTCTTCTCCGCAATCATATGTCATGGACTCCACTTTGTAGCCCCATTTATTGAGGTTGGCTCTGCATCTCGTGGTGCCGGAGCACAGCCTGTTCAGCACCTTCCAGGTCACCCAATCTTCTGTGTGCCCAGGAAGGAGTCTCTCATTTGATATCAGCCACTGATTAAGGTTCCAGGTTTTAGCTTGCCACTTTTGGACTCTTGCTTGCCAACCTTAAGAAATGGGGCCACAAAGTGGAATCCATGACATGTGAGTGTGGAGAAGAGCAAACCACAGACCTTCTACTACAATGCAACCTGAGCCCTGCCACATGCACAATGGAGGACCTTCTTGCGGCAACACCAGAGGCACTCCAAGTGGCCAGTTACTGGTCAAAGGACATTTAATAGAATACCAAGCCTGCAGACTTTGTGTTTTGTTTGTTTGTTTTTAATGCAATACAACTGTTTGGTTCGCTCCTGACACGATAAATAAAATAAATAGATTTTTTTTATCGTGTCATCAGCAACCATTGTATTACAATTCTAACAGAGCAAAACAAACACAGAGATTAAAAAGAAAAAGAAAGAAAAAAGAAAGAAAGAAAAAAAACCACACAGATTTTGTAAATTTGGTATTTGGTTAAATGTCCTTTGACCAGTATCTGGCCACTTGGAGTGCCTCTGGGGTTGCCGCAAGGAGGTCCTCCATCGTGCATGTGGCAGGGCTCAGGGTGCACTGCAGCAGGTGGTCAGTGGTTTGTTCTTTTCCGCACTCGCATGCCGAGGATTCCACCCTGTAGCCCCGTTTCTTAAGATTGGCTCTGCATCTCGTGGTGCCAGAGCGCAATCTGTTCAGCGCCTTCCAAGTTGCCCAGTCTTCTGAGTGCCCAGGGGGGAGTCTCTCATCTGGTATCACCCATGAATTGAGGTGCTGGGTTTGGGCCTGCCACTTTTGGACTCTCGCTTGCTGGGGTGTTCCAGCGAGTGTCTCTGTAGATCTAAGAAAACTACATGAGAGAAGCCTCCTCGCAGGATTGCAAGACATCCGGGCGTCCCCTGGGCAACGTCTTCGTAGACGGCCGATTCTCTCAACCCAGAAGCAACCAGAAAATAAATAGATAAATAAAATCTATGTACACCAGAGGCACTCCAAGTGGCCAGCGACTGGTCAAAGGACATTTAGTATAATGCCAAGTTTTAAAAATATTTATGTTTTTTGAGTACATTACAACTGTACCCTTGGTTTGCTTCTGATACAATAAACAAAATAGGAAGGTGGGGAGAATCACATTATGATTCAGAAGCCCAATTTCCTTCTTTAAAATTTCAGTTGCTCCAAAAGCAAAGAGGAATAGAGACATAACATGGCTTCAGGGCAGATGTAAGCATTGCACCTCTCTTCTTTAAAAGCACTTAACCTCATGGAGAGCTAGACCTTTTTTCCTTTGCAAGAGGACCCCCTTATCTCCATGGGAAGCCTCCTTGAAAAAGAACAAAAGCCCAAGCTGGTTTCCATTGTCCCAGCGGCTTCGTGGCCCAGATCTGTCCAACAACAAGGAAATTTGTCTTGAGGTGTCAAAATATTTGAAGGGAGGTAGAGGCTGGGGCTTGAGACTGAAAGAAGAAAGGACCCACAGCCAAGTGGAACCAATTAAAGCACCCCTTCCCTCATTAATGCAGAAACAGCTCCCATCGCTCTTTGAAGTCTCCCTTTACGAAGGACCAAGTGCTAATTTCATTTGACGTTTTAATTGGTGTCAAATCCTTAATATATTTATCTGTTCCAGATAGATAAAGCAGTGCAGGGGCTGTGGCTTGTGTTATTATTTTGCCTCAAGGCAGCAGGAAAATAGCATGTTGGTGGCATCATTGTAATTATTGATTATTATTTGGAAAATGTAATTCCAGGCGCTGTACTGTCTTTTTTTGGCATTTTGTGAGGGCTGCGACTCAATCCCGCTGCTAATAAAGTCGAGTGAGAAGCTTGGCTGTGTTCAAAATTCACAATATCAGGAACAGCTTGTTTCAGCCGTCGGGTGGATTAAAAATAAAAGGCTTAGCAGAGATCAGGATTGGAAATGCTGCAATGCAATCATGCTTCCTAGGCATTTGCTGGGTGGATTTAAAGGAATCCAGTGTCTAGGGCTACTATAGAAGAAGAGGAATTGTTACTGCTGGCAGTTTGGGTGTTACGGAATTAGGACTAGGATGGCGCAATGAGTTTGTGATAGAGGCACGTAGGCAGCCCGATGGCTAGTATTTTCTTATAAATCAGTTATGTAATGTTTAATGTGTTGTCAAAGGCTTTCATGGCTGGAAGCACTGGGTTGCTGTGTGTTTTCCAGGCTGTACGGCCATGTTCCAGAAGCATTCTCTCCTGACGTTTCACCCACATCTATGGCAAGCATCCTCAGAGGCGCAGTGGGTGGGGTCATGCAACGAAAGTTAGGGCACTACTGCTGTAGTGTCTTATGTTACAAAGATCTATGTGGCTACATCAGGCCCATAGCCAGGAGTTCGATTTGGGGGGGGGGGGTCTGAGTTTGTTTGGGGGGGGCTGAGTCTGAATGAAAGAGGGTCTACCCTAGCAAACCTTATGTATCGTTACCCCAATACCCCCATGCATATGGGATATATTGAGTATGGTGATCAGATCATGATATGAATAAACATAACAGTTTAAATAATGCACCAGTAAGGCCTTTTCGCAAACCATCATGAGAATTTCGGGTGGGGCTGAAGCCCCTCAAGCCCCCCCCCTCCCGGCTACATGCCTGGGCTACATGGATCACGGTGAATGCTTTGCAAAATAGCAGGCCTGCTCATTGTATAGACTTCAAATATTGGAGTGCAACTCCCAGAATTTGGTCATGGGTGAGGATTTATCAGAGTTGCAACAACCAAAGGGCCACGCAATTCCCATCACAGATGCTCATGAGAATGAGCCATGCAAAACATGTTTCACCGAAGCCAAACTTTGCCTAACCTAAGTAGCGATTGGCTTCGGTGCTACCGCTTGACAGATTGCACACAAACTAAGGAGATGGTAGATGATATAAGTAAACAAGAAAAGCAAGGAAGAGCGAGGAAGAGACAGCTAAAGTGTCATGAGACTCCTTCCTGGATTCAACCCACAACATATCTTCAGGAATACTTCCTAAGCGGATTTGAAAATGCTTTTACTATCTGCCCAGGTTTCTTTGCTGTGTTTTGTTCATTATTAGCTTGGGTACCAAGCGTTGCCCGGGTTATTTGGAAAAGTCAGTGTTTAATTGTACAGTACAAAATGCATAAGGTTGTGGCTGAACTACAACTCACATCATGCCAAGTTAACCCCAAGAAACTCCATCAGTACTTAAAGTTTGTTATGTTGGGCAAGTTTGCTCTAGATGCCTCATTGGTGGGGTTCAGCATACTCTCTGGCTGTAGGGTAAACTACAACTCCCACTATGGTGAGTCAGTCTCCTCAAACCCCTCCTTAGGTTGGGTTAGTCATGGGGGTTCTGTGTGCCAAGTTTGATCCAGATACATCAACAGTGGAGGTCACTGTTCCTCTGGTTGTGGGTGAACTACAACTCCCAGAAAGCAAGGTTAGTTTCCCCCAAACTCCAGTAATATCAGTATGTGTGCCAAGTTTGGTCCAGATCCATCAGTGTTTGGGCTCATAATGCTGTCTGGATGTGGGTGAACTACAACTCCCCCAAATCAACATGAATTTTCCCCAAAGACCTTCAGTACTTTTTTTTTACTGGTCATGAGGGCTCTGCATGCCATGTTTGGTCCAATTCCATCTTTGGTGGAGTTTAGAGTGCTCATTGATTGTAGGTGAACTATAAATCACAGTACATAAAACTCCAAAATGTCCAGGCCAATCCCCCTCAAAACCCATCAGTATTCAAATTTGGGCATATCGGGTTATGCATGCCAAGTTTGGTCCAGATTCATAATTGTTTGGGTTCATAGTGCACTCTGGATATAGGTGAACTACAACTCCTATAAATCCACCCAAAGACTTCCAGTATTTTTTGTTGGTCATGGGGGTTCTGTGTGCCAAGTTAGCTCCAGGTCCATCGTTGGTGGAGTTCAGAGTGCTTTTAGATTGCAGGTGAACTATACATCCCAGGACCTACAACTCCTATTAATCATGGTGAATTCTCCCCAAACCTCTCTAGTATGTTCAGTTGCTGATCATTTCCTCAGCTTGTTGTGTGCCATAGAAAAGAATAGGAAAAGGTTAAGGGAGGGGCAGTGGGTGAGGTCATGCAAATTCCACACCAATGGAGAGAGTCAGAAGCACTGGGGTGTCTGTAGTGGAGGAAAAACAGAAAATCTAGGATGAAATTGTCCCCGTATGAAAGCCTTTACTTGGGTGGGGTGCAGGATTGTGTTGGTGAAGGACGTTGGCAGGGCTCTTGTTCATGGCGTTCACTATAATTCGCATTGTAAATGGAGGGAAGGAGATTGGTGTCTCCTGAGTAGTGGGAGTTATAGATATTTGTGGAAGTGGGAGCTTGCCTGTGGAAGTGGAGACTCCAACCACACACACATACATATTTTCACTTTTATTATGTGTATAGATAGATGGGGCAGCAACTACCACCTCCACCATAAACAGCTGGGCAGAAACAGCATTTGCCCTTGCTTGCCCTGATACCAGGTGCCATCCTACTATGACGAAAAATGAATCTGGAAAGCTGAGAACCACTTTGTGTGTGTCCTCAGGAGGAGCAATGAGAATGATATAGTCTTTCAGATGTTATTGAATTTCCAGCATCCTTCAACATTGGCTGCGGTGGCAGCTGGTGGCTCTCGCCTTGTGGGCGGCTGAATCCATTCCTGTTCTGCACTGGCTTTAAAGGAGCTATCCGTGGTGCTGAAGCTATTTAGGAGTGGCATTCAGCACATGGGAGAGCTTCTCTTTAGCCTGGATGGAACCCCAGATTCACCATTCTTCCCAACGTGGGAGCCAATAGCCATTATTGTAGATGGAATAGACTTGCCCTCTGGGAAACTACACTCTGCCCATCCTAACCAAAATAAATCTCATTCCCCTTCAGGTTTGCTGACAGCCCCTTACCCTGACCAGTTGGTCTCTTACTTTTTTTTTAGGAGTGAAAGAAATGTGCAGCGGGCCCAAGCCTGGATGCAGCACCTCTGTGACCACTTGGAGCTGCAGCGCTTTTTGCAGAACTGCCATGAGGTAGGTTGCAACTTCCACTGCCAATGGGAATTGGGGAGGATTGTTGTAGGTTTTTCGGGCTATATGGCCATGTTCTAGAGCAGTGGTTCTCAACCTGTGGGTCCCCAGGTGTTTTGGCCTACAAATCCCAGAAATCCCAGCCAGTTTACCAGCTGTTAGGATTTCTGGGAGTTGAAGGCCAAAACATCTGGGGACCCACAGGGTGAGAACCACTGCTCTAGAGGCATTATCTCCTGACGTTTCGCCTGCATCTATGGCAAGCATCCTCAGAGGTAGTGAGGTCTGTTGGAACTAGGAAAATGGATTTATATATTTGTGGAATGACCAGGGTGGGACAAAGAACTCTTGTCTTCTGGAGCTAGGTGTGAATGTTTCAACTGACCACCTTGATTAGCATTTGATGGCCTGGCAGTTGTTTGGTGTGGCTTGTTGGTGCCTGAGGCAATCTTTTGTTGAGAGGCGATTAGATGTCCCAAGTGTCTAGGACTGTGTGATGTATTGCCTATTATTATTATTATTATTATTATTATTATTATTATTATTATTATTTTGCTGACAGAAAAACACAGTATGATACAGCAAACGAGATCTATATGCTGGATTTTGTATCACAAATTCACAAGTCGAACACTTCCCAAGCGTTCAGGACTGTGTGATATTATTATTATTATTATTATTATTATTATTATTATTATTATTATTTTATTATTAATTTGAAACACAACAATATTAGCACACAGCAAACAAGATCACTCTTCTGGCTGTTGTATTGGATCACACACCGGATACTTCCCAAGTGTCTAGGACTGTGTGATGTATCAGTGAATAATGCATGCAGATCTGAGTATGGTGGCCTTTTAATTTTGTCAGTGCTGATTGTGTTTAAGTGCAGGCCAATGTCTTTAGGCACTGCACCCAGTGTGCTGATCATCACTGGGTCCACCTTTATTGGCTTGTGCCAGAGTTGTTATTATTATTATTATTATTATTATTATTATTATTATTATTATTATTATTATTTGAAACACAACAAGGTTAATACACAGCAAACAAGGTCATTATGCTTTCTATTGTATTGTGTCATAAGTATCTAGAACTGTGTGATGTATTGGTGAATAATGAGTGCAGATCTGAGTAGGGTGGCCTTTTGGAGCTGACAGATGGTAATTTTGTCAGCGCCGATTGTGTTTAAGTGCAGGCCAAGGTCTTTAGACACTGCACCCAGTGTGCTGATGACCACTGGGACCACCTTTAATTGCTTGTGTCAGGGTCTTTTGTATTATTATTTGAAACACAACAAGATTAGTACACAGCAAATAAGATCACTATGCTGGCTGTTGTATCGGCCACTTCCCAAGCGTCTAGGACTGTGTGATGTATTGGCGAATAATGAGTGCAGATCTGAGTAGGGTGGCCTTTTGCAGTTGACAGATGGTAATTTTGTCAATGCTGATTGTTTTTAAGTGCAGGCCAAGGTCTTTAGGCACTGTATCCAGAGTGCCGATCACCACTGGGATCATCTTTACTAGCTTGTGCCAGAGTCTTAGTAGTTATTATCCTTATCATTATCATTATTTCATGAGGAACAAGCATGCAGCTCCTCTTCGTAATCTACAGTAACATAATCCAGGGAAAGCTCCACCGCTCAGCTCTGCTGAATGAATACATCTGATTTGACTTAGAGGTATTTGTGAATGTTGGAAGAAGGATGAAGGACCCAAGGGGCCTCGGTCCTGTGGACATCAAAAAGATGCCCTCCTCCCATGCCACTCTCGGGAATGAATGCAGCTTCCTTTCCTCCAGTGATCTTCCTTGAATTTGCATTTTTGGCCCCACCCAGGAAGACATTTTCCATTTCTCCTTAATTAGGGTAGCATGTATGTTTCCAGGCTGTTCCTCGGTTATGCTAATGAACCCTTTGCTGGGTGTATGTGTGCCAGTTTTTCTCCCCCCACATCCCACAGTTTTTCTAGCACATCCATCTTCCTGTTTTATGGTGCATGTGGATTGCAATGGTTGCAGTATGCCCCATTTGGGACCGGAATATGGCTTGATGCCCCTGCATTGCAAAGAAAGGGGGCTCCTGCAAACAGGATGAGGGGCACTCTTGGCTTTAAGGGGATGGTAGGCAGCCAAAATAGGCCTGGATAGGGCACAATATGAGAATTATCTGAGCAGCTAGAGTTGGGGATGCAAAAAAGACAGTTGTTATGGGCCCCAGTGTCCATAATGGGGTACTACTTTAATCCTGCCCACTGAAAAGGGGAACAACAATGGGTACAAGTTGCATCCCTATATTTTCCATTCTCCCTATCCTTGCTAGTGTTCCCTCTGTTCCAGGCATGGGCAAACTTCGGCCCTCTGAGTGTTTTGGATTTCAGCTCCCACAATTCCTAACAGCCTTAGGAAGCAGGAAAGCACTCTGCAGATGCTCAGAGGCACTCCCTCCACTGGCTCTTACTGAGAACAAACACTTAGGAAGAAGGAAGGTGCTCTGTAGATGCTCAAAGGCACACACTCCATTGGTTGATACTGAAAAACGACACTTACAAAGCAGTAGGTCACTCTGCAGAGGCTCAGAGGCACTCTTTCCACTGTCTCTTACTGGGAAAGGACACTTAGGAAGCAGAAAGTCACTGCGGAGGCTCGGAGGCACTCTCTTCACTGTCTCTTACTGAGAAAGGACACTTAGGAAGCAGGAAAGCACTCTGCAGATGCTCAGAGGCACTCCCTCCACTGGCTCTTTCTGAGAAAGGACACTTAGGAAGCAGGAAGGCTCTCTGCAGATGCTCAGAAGGACCCTCTCCACTGCCTGTTATTGAGAAAGGACACTTTCAGTGCCTCTGAGCATCTGAGCTCAGAAAAGGAAATGACTTGGGCTGTTAGGAATTGTGTGCCACGTTTGGTTCAATTCCATCGTTGGTGGAGTTCAGAATGCTCTTTGATTGTAGGTGAACTATAAATCCCAGAAACTACAACTCCCAAATGACAAAATCATTTTTTTTAGTGATGGTCATTCCTTGGGTTAGTAGGTGTCTTGTGGCCTTATTTGGCGGCGGTTCATCCAGTGGTTTTTGAGTTATGTTAATCCCACAAACGAACATTACATTTTTATTTATATAGATATCGTACTATACCACTATACTGTAATATTATTAGTAATATTACATGTAATATAAAATATATACTTCTTATGTTGTATTATTATTAGTATTATATTGTAGTACATTATGATATTATTATTATTTATATAGCCTAGCTGTACCCACCACGCGTTGCTGTGGCCAACCTTCCCTCCCTCTTTTTCTCCTTCTTTCCTTCCTTCCTTCTTTTTCTTTCCCCTCTTCATTCTTCCTTCTCTATCTGTTTCTTTTCTTACTTCCTTGCTCTTTAGTTCCATCCTTCCTTGCCTCTTTCCTCCCCTCCATCTTTCTCTCTTTTGTTCCTTCTCTCCTTCCTTCCCTCTTTCACTTTTTATTTCCTACTCTCCTTCCTTCCTTCTCTACCTTTCTTTCTTTCCTTCCTTCCCTCCCTCTTTCTCTCTTTTGTTCCTTCTCTCCTTCCTTCCCCTCTTTCACTTTTTTATTTCCTTCTCTCCTTCCTTCTCTACTTTCTTTCTTTTCTTTCCTTCCTCCTTTCTTCCCTCCTCTTTCTCTCTTTTGTTCCTTCTCTCCTTCCTTCCCACTTTCACTTTTTTATTTCCTTCTCCTTCCTTCTCTCCTTTCTTCTTTCTTTCCTTTCCTTCCCTCCCCTTTCTCTTTTTCCTTCTCTCCTTCCTTCCTCTTCACTTTTTTATTCTTCTTCCTTCCTTCCTTCCTTCTCTCTCTTTCTTTCTTTTCTTTCTTTCTTCTTCTCTTCCTTCCTTCCTCCCTCTTTCTCTCTTTTGTTCCTTCTCTCTTCCTTCCCTCTTTCACTTTTTTATTTCCTTCTCTCCTTCCTTCCTTCTCTACCTTTCTTCTTCTTTCTTTCCTTCCTTCCCTCCCTCTTTCTCTCTTTTGTTCCTTCTCTCCTTCCTTCCCTCTTTCACTTGTTTATTTCCTTCTCTCCTTCCTTCCTTCACTACCTTTCTTTCTTTCTTACCTTCCTTCCCTCCTTCTTTCTCTCTTCTTCCTTCTCTCCTTTCTTTCTCTCCTCTTCACTTTTTTTCTTCCTTTGCTCTTTGGTTCCATCCTTCCTTGTCTCTTTCCTTCCTTCCTTCCCTCCCTCTTTCTCTTTTTCGTCCCTTCTCTCCTTCCTTCCCTCTTTCACTTTTTTATTTCATTCTATCCCTCCTTCTCTCTCTTTCTTTCTTTCCTTCCTTCCCTCCCCCTTTCTCTCTTTTGTTCCTTCTCTCCTTCCTTCCCTCTTTCACTTTTTTATTTCCTTCTCTCCTTCCTTCCTTCACTACCTTTCTTTCATTCTTTCTTACCTTCCTTCCCTCCTTCTTTCTCTCTTTTGTTCCTTCTCTCCTTTCTTCCCTCTTTCACTTTTTTATTTCCTTCTCTCCTTCCTTCCTTCTCTCCCTTTCTTTCTTTCCTTCCTTCCTTTCTTCCCTCCCTCTTTCTCTTTTTCGTTCCTTCTCGCCTTCCTTCCCTCTTTTACTTTTTTATTTCTGTCTCTCCTTCCTTCCTTATCTGCCTTTCTTTCTTGCTTTCTTTCTTTCTTTCTTTCCTACCATCCTTCCCTCCTTCTTTCTCTCTTTTGTTCCTTCTCTCCTTCCATCCCTTTCACTTTTTTATTTCCTTCTCTCCTTCCTTCCTTCTCTACCCTTCTTTCTTTCCTTCCCTCCTTCTTTCCCTCTTTCTCTCTCTCCTTCCTTCCCCTTTTCTGTGTATGTTTTGTGTGTGCATATATGTGGTTTTGTGCTTGTGTTGTAATGTATTTTTTTTTTTGCTTCTTAGGTCCCTTCTGCTGTGTTTTTCAGTGTTTTTATGAGTGATGGTCACTCGTTGGCCTGATCGGTGTCTTGTGTCCAAATTTGGCGTCAATTCGCCCAGTGGTTTTTGAGTTCTGTTAATCCCACAAACAAACATTACATTTTTATTTATATAGATATCGTACTATACTGCTATACTGTAATATTATTAGTAATATTACATGTAATATAAAATATATACTTCTTATGTTGTATTATTATTATTGACAGATTAGAGAGATGGGCCAAAACTAACAAAATGAAGTTCGACAGTGACAAATGCAAGATACTCCACTTTGGCAGAAAAAATGAAATGCAAAGATACAGAATGGGAGATGCCTGGCTCGAGAGCAGTGCGTGTGAAAAAGATCTTGGAGTCCTCGTGGACAACAAGTTAAACATGAGCCAACAATGTGATGTGGCGGCAAAAGAAGCCAATGGGATTTTGGCCTGCATCAATAGGAGCATAGTGTCTAGATCTAGGGAAGTAATGCTACCCCTCTATTCTGCTTGGTTATACCACACCTGGAATACTGTGTCCAATTCCGGGCATCACAATTGGAGGGAGATGTTGACACTCTGGAATGTGTCTAAAATGATCAAGGGTCTGGAGAACAAGCCCTGGCAAAAGTATAAGGCTGAGAGGAGAGAGAAGGCTGAGAGGAGACATGATAGCCATGTATAAATATGTGAGAGGAAGCCACAGGGAGGAGGGAACAAGCTTGTTTTCTGCTTCCCTGGAGACTAGGACACGAAACAATGGCTTCAAACTACAAGAAAGGAGATTCCATCTGAACATGAGGAAGAACTTCCTGACTGTGAGAGCTGTTCAGCAGTGGAACTCTCTGCCCCGGAGTGTGGTGGAGGCTCCTTCTTTGGAGTCTTTTAAGCAGAGGCTGGATGGCCATCTGTCAGGGGTGATTTGAATGCAATATTCCTGCTTCTTGGCAGGGGGTTGGACTGGATGGCCCATGAGGTCTCTTCCAACTCTTTGATTCTATGATTCTATGATTCTAAAAAGGGGAGCAATGTGTGCCTGCCTTTCCTGATGGAGAGCCCAGAGCAGAGGAGAGGGACACGGTTTTGTGTCCCTAAATAGGGCACTATTTTGGTCTCCCCTCCTAAACATCCCCCCTGAGAGCCATATGGGCTTCCCCGTCCTCATGGAGAGGTCAGCTGAGGTGAGGCCGACACGTGAGAGCCTGTATTGGAAGGGGGGGGGCACCAAGGCGCCTTTGAAACCCCCTCCTTGCCGTCTGTTGACGCGCCGCTTGGGGAAAAGGAGCGAGAGCGCCTCCCCCTCTTTTTCCCCTCCTCAGTGGTTTCGCCCGCTGCCGCAGCAGCCAGTGAAGGAGCAGAGCGGAGCGAACCAAAGCGCCTCTTCCGCCTGGGGGGGGGGGGGGGGAGTTGTTGTTGTTGCTCTTTGCTGCGGGAGACGCGGGGTTCGAGAGGAAAGGGCTGACGCGCGTCTTTTTTTTCCTTCTTCTTTCTCCTCTTTCTAATCCGTCCCTGCTCGCTGAAGCTCGATGGCTGGGTGGCCGAGAAGGAGGCTCTGATGGCCGGCGAGGGCTCTTCTTGGAAGCAGCAGCACCCGCAGCAGGAGCAGCATCCGCAGCATCCGCAGCATCCGCAGCAGCCGCCTTTGCAGCGGGCTCCCAAGCGATGGCTCCGGCACCGCGCCTTCATGGCTGAACTGGCCCAGAACAAGGAGTGGCTGCGCAAGATTGAGAAGGTGAGGGAGATTCAGCACCTGGGACAGCGGGGGGAGGGCGGGGGGACTGATGCGTGCCTCCTCTCCCCGTGTCACCCTTTGGACGTGTGAGTGCTCCCTTGGGTCTGCGTGTTTACCTCTTTGCACCCTCATGGTTCTGCTCCAGGTCTCTTTGGAAGCCCAATGACACCCGAAAATTATGATGACACGTGTCTCACCCTTTGCACGTGTGAATGCTCCCCTGGGTCTGCATGCAACTGCGTGTTTACCTCTTTGCACCCTCATGGTTCGGCTCCAGGTCTCTTTGGAAGCCCAATGGCACTCGGGAATTGTGATGACACGTGTCACCCTGTGCACGTGTAAATGTGCCCTTGGGTCTGCGTGTATCTGCGACTTTACCTCTTTGCACCTTAATGGTTCTGCTCCAGGATTCTTTGGAAGCCCAATGGCACCCGAAAATTATAATGACACATGTCTCACCCTTTGCACGTGTGAACATTCCCCTGGGTCTGCGTGTATCTGCCGATGGCTGGGTGGCTGAGAAGGAGGCTCTGATGGCTGTGTTTACCTCTTTTACACCTTAATGGTTGTACTCCAGGCCTCTCTGGAAGCCCATTGGTACCCAAGAATTGTAATGACACGTGTCCCCCTTTGCACGTGTGAATGCTCCCTTGAGTTTGCATGTATCTGCGTGTTTACCTCTTTTGCACTTTAATGGTTCTGCTCTCTTTGGAAGGCCAGTGGCGCCCAAGAATTGTAATGACACATGTCTCAACCTTTAAACATGTGAACGCTCCCCTGGATTTGCATGTATGTGCATGTTTACCTCTTTTGCACCTTAATGATTCTGCTTCAGGCCTCTTTGGAAGCCCAACGGCACCCAAGAATTGTGATGATGCGTGTCACCCTTTGCACTTTGCCCTTAAGTCGGTGTGTATCTACATGTTTACCTCTTTGCACCTTAATGATTCTGCTCCAGGTCTCTTTGGAAGTTTTCCTTTGGGGCCCAGTGACACCCGATAATTATAATGATATGATTCCTCTCCCGTGTCCCCCTTTGCACATGGGAATGCTCCCTTGGGTCTGCGCGTATCTGCGTGTTTCCCTCTTTGCACCCTCATGGTTCTGTTCCAGGTCTCCTTGGAAGCCCAATGACGCCCGAGAATTATAGTGACATGATTCCTCTCCCATGTCACCCTTTCCACGTGTGAACACTCCCTTGGGCCTGCGTGTAGCTGCATGTTTGCATCCTAATGGTTCTGTTCCAGGTCCCTTTGGAAGCTTCCCCCTGGCCCAATGAAACACGAGAATTGTAATGACACGATTCCTCTCCCATGTCACACTTTGCATGTGTGAATGTCCTCTTGGATCTGCGAGTATCATCATGTTTACCTCTTTGCACCCTCGTGGTTCTGCTCCAGGTTTCTTTGGACTCGAGAACTGTAATGACACGTGTCACCCTTTGCATGTGTGGATGCGCCCTAGGGCCTGCACGTATCTGCGTGTATTTACCTCTTTGCACCCTAATGGTTCTGCTCCAGGTCTCTTTGGAGTGTCAATGACACCCGAGAATTATAATGACATAATTCCTTTCCTGTGTCACCCTTTGCTCGTGTCAATGCTCCCTTGGGTCTGTGTGCATCTGCTTGTTTGCATCTGAATGGTTCTGCTCCAGGTCTCTTTGGAAGCTTCCCCTTGGGGTCAAATGACACCCAAGAACTTTAATGGCATGATTTGTCTCCCGTGTCCCCCTTTGCATGTGTGAATGTTCTCTTGGGTCTGCGCATGTCTGCGTGTTTACCCTTTCCACCCTAATGGTTCTGCTCCAGGTCTCTTTGGAAGCCCAGTGGCACCCAAGAATTGTAATGGTTGTGCTCCAGGCCTCTTTGGAAGCCTATTGGCACCTGAGAATTGTAATGACATGTGTACCCCTTTGACCGTGTGAATTCTCCTTAGGTCTGTGTGTATCTGTGTGTTTGCCTCTTTGCACCCTAATGGTTCTGCTCCAGGCCTCTTTGGAAGCCCAATGACACCCGAGAATTGTAATGGTTGTGCTCCAGGCCACTTTGGAAGCCTATTAGCACCTGAGAATTGTAATGACATGTGTACCCCTTTGACCGTGTGAATGCTCCTTAGGTCTGTGTGTATCTGTGTGTTTGCCTCTTTGCACCCTAATGGTTCTGCTCCAGGCCTCTTTGGAAGCCCAATGACACCCGAGAATTAGAATGACACGATTCCGTTTTAGCTGCCATGACAACATGTTATAGAATCGTGAGATTTGCAGTTTAGGAGAGGGCGGATTTGAATTCTCATCCAAAATAAAATCCCTTTGGGGTCTGGTAGGCTTGGATCATGGATTATAGGATTCCAATAGACCCAGGTCTCAGATCCAAGTGCCTTTGGGCTGGTAGGAAGTAGAGCAGGCATGGGCAAACTTGGGCCCTCCAGGTGTTTTGGACTGCAATTCCCACAATTCCTAACAGCCTCCAGGCCTTGCCTTTTCCCCCTCAGCTGCTTAATCTGAGTGGGAAAAGGAAGAGGTTAGGAATTGTGGGAGTTGAAGTCCAAAACACCTGGAGGGCTCAAGTTTTCCCATACCTGGTATAGGATATGTTTCCTCTCCAGATCACCATATGGCTTGAAAAGAGGACTTCCATAGTAAAACCCCACACCACTTGGGGTCACATGATTGATTCAAGGTCCCCTCCCCCCCCCCATCCCCCCCTCCCCCTCATCTCATCAGGCGTTCTGGAGCTCTCTCACGTGACCCTGCTGAGAAACAGATCAGGTTGCACCTTCTGCATGTGTATCTTTTATGTGTGTGGGTGGCAAATTTGGGAGAGGAACAAGTGCTTTGCACGTCGAAAACTCTCATATGCCATTCCCAGGCAGCATTTTCCAGGAATCTTGGAGTTTGCATTTTACAAAGGGACATTTATCATTCTCAGCCAAAGCGAGGATGCCATAGGATGGATATTAGTACCATAATTCAGTAGTGTGAATGGGCTCCAGGCTGGATTAAGTGGCTCAAAAGATGTCAACTTCTGTTGTCGAAGGCTTTCATGGCCAGAATCATTGGCAACCTCTGAGGATGCTTGCCATAGATGTAGGAAAAGGTCAGGAGAGAATGCTTCTGGAGCATGGCCATACAGCCCGGACACAACAACCTGATGTCAACTTCTGTTGTTTACAAAAGCCCTTATCTTGAAAGTAGTGTGTGTGTGCTTTGGGTCTTGTCCAAACAGCAAGGGATTCCCTCATGTGTTGGGTAAAGTTCATGAAACTGCAGGGCAGGTCCTTCTTGGTGGTGGCATTTCTCATGTGGAATGTTCTTGCTGAGGAAAGGTTCACTTGCTGGGAACCTCTGACTGTTTATGCTTCATTCTGGTTAAGAATACTTTTCTCTGATTCCAAAGGCTTGCTGCTGCTACTAGTTTCTGGGATTTATTGACTTTCTGAGTTTCTTTGTTTTTTAAGCCGGTTGTTACCTTTTGTATGTGTCTGCCTTCAAGTTGCCTGATGACTTATGAATTTTGTAGGGTTTTCTTAGGCAAGGAATACTCAGATGTAGTTTTGCTAGTTCCTTCCTCTGAAAAATAGCCTACAGCACCTGCGATTAATTGATGCTCAATCTTATCCAAGTACTATAAAGCCACAGTGGTACAGCGGTTTAAACCGCTAAGCTGCAGAACTTGCTGATTGGAATATTGGTGGTTCAAATCTGTGGATGGGATGAGCTCTCGTTACTAGCCCCAGTTTCTGCAAACCTAGCAGTTCAAAAATATGCAAATATGAGCGAATCAATAGGTATCACTCTGATGGGAAGTTAACAGCACTCATGACCACATGACCTTGGAGGTGTCTATGGACATCGCTGGCTCTTCGGCTTAGACATGGAGATGAGCAACACCCTCCAGAGTTGGACACAACTAGACTTAATGTCCAGGGGAAGCTTTTACCTTTACTTTTTATCCAAGTACTAATCAGACACCCCTTCTACACTTCTATATAATCCAGATTATCAAAGCAGATAATCCACATTATTTGGTTTGAACTGGATTATATGAGTCTACACTGACATATAATTCAGTACAACGCAGATAATCTGGATTTTATATGGCAGTGTCGAAGGAGCCAGAGTTGAGCATCTTATCTTCCAAATTCAAATTGGATCTGGGGTTTTTAGTTGTTGTTGTTGTTGTTGTTTTGAGTGCCTTTAAGTTCTTTCCAGATTAAGTCCCTCCTACACTGCCATATAAAATCCAGATTATCTGCTTTGAACTGGATTATATGGCAGTGTAGACTCAGATAATTCGGTTCATAGCAGATAATGTGGATTATCCCGCTTCTCTGGAAAATAGCCTACGGCACCTGCTATTCATTGATGCTGTGGTGGAGGCTCCTTCTTTGGAAGTTTTTAAACAGAGGCTGGATGGCCATCTGTCAGGGGTGATTTGAATGCAATATTCCTGCTTCTTGGCAGAATGGGGTTGGACTGGAAGGCCCATGAGGTCTCTTCCAACACTTTGATTCTATGATTCAATCTTATCCAAGTACTATAGAGCCACAGTGGTTCAGCAGGTTAAACCACTAAGCTGCAGAACTTGCTGATTGGAAGGTTGGTGGTTTGAATCTGTGAACGGGCTGAGCTCCTGCTGTTAGCCTCAGCTTTTGTCAACCTAGCAGTTCAATAGTATGCAAATGTGAGTAGATCAATAGGTACTGCTGCTGTGGGAAAGTAAAGGTGGTCCATGCAGTCATGCCGGCCACATGACCTTGGAGGTGTCTACGGACAACGCCAGCTCTTCAGCTTAGAAATGGAGATGATCACCAACCCCCAGAGTTGGACACAATTAGACTTAATGTCAGGGGAAACCTTTACCTTTACCTTTTACTGCTTTGATAATCTGGATTATTTGGAAAGGTAGAAGGACCTTAGTATAACAGTGTTTGTTTGTTTGTTTTTGCAAGAGGTGCTCCAGATTTAGCCTCCCACTGAAGCTGAGAGAGTATGATTTGCC